ATGATGACGATAATACGATATGCGTTGGAACGCAGGAATAATGCGCGAGACTCGTATATAAGGTTCCGAAAAAAAAGAGAATCAGACCTGCAGAAATTACAGAAAGAACCGCGACGAGATACGAGATTATCCATGGTGCCTGAAATGCAAAAAGAGGCACGAGGAGAAGGTCCGTCGTGCCCTTCTTTCCTTCTACCTACAGGTTCGCGTGATGACGGCGTGTGCCCGCGGGGGCGTTCGATTCTCCGAGAGTCGTAGATCGCGTGCGAGCTTGCAGCTGGTGAGCAGAGAGAGAAAGAGAGAGTGAGAGAAAAGAACAGTCTCTCGGGAGTTTATCATGGGGCCCCCGAGGGTACGCGCTCGCAACGCAAGTACCTTAAACGTGGGCGGAACAGCAGGGGTGCCCTTGGGGTGTTTCTCACCCGCATACCTGGCATACGTGCCAGCCACCTTCTCATCCCTCTTCCCCAATTTCTTCTGCCTCTTCTCTCATTCGCTCCATTATCATTCGGCTTTTCATCCTCTCGTTCCCTTCTGTTTCTTCATCTTCTCCTTGAAACGTCATCTTCTCTTTTTGTTTCACTTAGAAATTACTTAGCGCGTCAGCGCTTGTATACAGTAGATAAGAATTTCCCATAAGAAATTTCATTTTTATTTGCGTCTGAATATTCCAGGATGAAAGTGGAGAATTTTTCGTGAATATAACGCTTGGGGAAAATATGAAAATGAAATATTGCGCTTAAAGATACGTGTGAAAATATTATTATGAGTTATTTGATCTACAAAATTAGATATCTAATTACATGGAATTCGCCTTTCATGTTCGTGCCTTGTATATTTTATGCGCATTCCAGCGAGAGACAGACGCGAACCGCGTTGATGAGGGGTTAATCTTCGGGAGCGACTGTTCTATTCGAGAATAACGGAGTTCGGGAGAGTCCAATTTGTTCACGGCGCGGAATCCGGCGTGAGATCCGTTATCGACCGGTCAGAGATTCTTTTCCGCAGACACGAAAGCCGCGCATTCCCGCGAAATTATTGCCTACCGATAACTTCTCTCGTTTGCCGATGCCGGGTGTGAATGGTTGCGATGAAATTGGAATCGCAGAGAAACGATGACAGGAAGGGACGAGATACAGCTATAGTCTAACGATGGAAAACAAATGCATCAGAAAAAATCTCTTTGATCAAAGAAGGTAACATTTTGTTAATACATTAAATTACTTTTTTAATGATACATTAAATGCAATTTTTTTTATAGTGAACCAGCTATCGAAGTGAGATACTTTTAGTCAATATATCAATCATATTAATATCTCTTAAAAACTCTTTCTAATTTTCTAACGAACCTTCGATAAACGATCACAACTTCTTAATGACAGTTGCCATTTCTATGACTCTAGCACTGTAATCAACCCGTAATGATTTCAAAGAAACTATGGGGATCGACGCGATTCTAATGCGCGCAAAGGAGCCTTAGATTTTAATAATTTCCTAAGAAAAAATTCCGGCGATGCCAATGGCGATTCTATGGTTGCGCGCGAACCCGTCGACCGTGTTGCCCCGAGGACGTTCCCATGAGTCGGGGGCGGCCACACCGACGCTTTCGTAGACCCTGGAAGATGCTGGGTCCGGAGAGCACCCGGGGGCGATGCCATGTTCCTCGTGAACGGTGCGTGCAACCGCGCGCTCTCGCAAACACATTATTACGCGAACCCTTAATAACCCACCCAGAGTTAACCTCTGCCTTTCCTTCTCTTTCTCTCTTCCCTCACAGCCCGAAAAGACTCTCACTCTTTCGCTCCCTCACCTCGACGAATTAGCTATTCTTTCGACGACGTGTACGGTAGCCACTTGCCTGGCTACAGCTCTGACGTTTCTTGCGGCTTCACGGATGATGCTCATCAGCACGAATCTCGATTCGCATTAGCTAAATAGTTTATTTAATTGTGTCTCTTGCATTTCTATTTAATAGTAAGCCTGGACAATATAGAAGAATTAAAAAGAAAATGTCTTCAAGCAGAATATTTATCATGTAAACTGTCAAGCTTGACATATATATATTTTTTCCACGAGAAATTGATCTTGACAATTCGCGAATGTATGTGAAATGTATTCGAAAATGTGGTATAATGCTTTTCACGGCTTGTCAATTCTCGAGAGGCGTTGTTCCTTGACTGGAACTTAATTTAGTTCCTCGTGCGTAATCAAGAAATTAGGGAACGCGAGTAATCTCGCTGATGAGGGACACGCCTCTGCCGCGTTCGCACCTCGGCAAATATTGAGCGACGAAGTCACGAATGGATGCACCAGGAAGCGATACCGCGTAAGAAGTTCTCGGTCTCATCTCGTCGCTAGATCAATGTCGACAGGAGTGATTGTCACGTTGTCACTCGTAACACTTCCGCGAGATAAAGCTTTTATTCCCCAAATGATAAATTGTTTCTGCATTATATTTCGAAATCGATACGCTGATAATTAAAGATATCAGCGAATGATTAGCAGTTTCTTATATTTTTTAAAATAATCGGAAGCACGTGGCAAAATGACACGTGATTGTCAAATTTGACGTACGCGTCCACATTCATGAAACTCTATCGTACAATATTGTGACACGGATGGGAAGCATGTGTAATGTAATGTACGTCGATTTTTCTGATAGGTCTCACAGTAAGACGTCAATGTTTAGACGCGAATTCATCGATTCCCACGGTCGGCACGTTGCAGCTCTCCGGACGTGCTCTCGTCTCGCGTCACGAAAGACTCTGCATCTAACATCCCGCGAATTTCGGTATTAGGACCGTATGAAGCCGGGCCGAGTGTTCGACGGGAGAGGAAACCGAGGTCTCCCAGAGATGACGACGACGATGACGACGATGACGGCGCGAGTTTCCCCGTACAGCCTCGCCAACCGGAACACCCGGCCTTCCTGTTGTATAGCGATACACCCTGTGTACTCACATTAGTCCGACTCGCCGAAGGTGTTTTTCGGCTGTATCGGCCGGCCCCGACCCGGCGAGATAGTCCAGCGGATTATCATGCGCGTGCATGTCGACAAAGGAAGTTTAGCTTGTAAAGCTGATTAAACCTTAGTTAATCACAACCGAGCAGGCCGGCATGACGAGGCTGGAGGTAGCGATCGTCGCGGCGCCGCTTCCCCACACTTCGGGGTCTTCTCTCTCTTTTACCTTTACCGCGGAACTCCTTCTCCACGTGTGTGCGCGCGCACGTTGTTCCGCTTCCTCCTACTGCGGTGCGGATTGAAGCGAATTGAAGCTTCTCGAGCACGTGTTCTCCCAGTGACGGCTCGTGCGAGCGGGCGGTCCCGCGCGGCAAACCGGCGCGCGTGACACGTGCTCCGCTCCATTCATGTTCGCCCGCTGCGCGCGACATAGCAACTGAATTCGGTACTGCAGTCCGCGAATTCCGGAGATTTTCTATCGCGATGCCTAACGGCCTAACTTCACGCGCGCGCCGGAATTCTTCCGCCGACGATTAGCCGCATCGTCCTCGAGTCTCTCTCTCTCTCTCTTTCTTTCGTTCCTCGGAGATGGAGAACGACGACAGGCTCTCGCAAAGCTTCGTTAGCAGGAGATTGGACAAATCGACGGATGACAATCGATGGAAGTTCAATTTGTCATCCGCGATGTACTTCCTCATCACACGCGCGAAATTTCCGTAATTCTCCTAGGAGATAAGGCCGATTAATAATCGCCTCATTTTCAATTTAAGCTCGCTTTAACGTGGAGCACTCGTGTCGAATGAAATTGCTGGAACGCAATACCGATGCATAGAGTGAGGGATTCCTCTCGGGGGTCCAGCGCGTCTCAGCGCGAGGACGCGGTCGAGAAAGAGCGCGATGGTTCGACGAAGAGGGACGAATGCGGCGTGCGCGCGATAAAGGGAGAGGCACCTATTAAACCTCCTCGAACAGCTGATCTCCTGGCATATCGGCGCAGCGCCGCAGCGCCACGCGTCACGGCGAGCACCACCGCGACGCGGCTACGCCGTGGCGCTTTTGGCTCCTGTCATCGTCGCGATGCTGCGCGGCGCTGAGATGTTGCCTGTCCTCGTGGAATCATCGGCATCCGACACCGTCCCGGCATTGCGACGACGCCGGTCAATAATGTGCCGAGGTATTCGGGCACCCCGAACCAAGTTGAGAAAAACGCAAAAGCCGCGAGAGCTAGTCCGAATTATTTCCAGGATTAATTGGATGTATCTAAATTAGGGAAGAATGTTCCTTGTTTCTTTGAGGAACAAAGTTTTCCCGTCAATCCGTCTAACGAGGTTTAGATTTTCTGTAGGATATTTTAATTTAAACTTAGTTACCGAGATGTTTGTATGATGCAAACTGAGAAAAGAAGTATGGACACTTAGTTGAGAATTTTCTAAAAGATTTTAACTTGGTAATTTAATTCATGTTTAATGAAGGGATTTTTTTCTGCTTTTATAAACGTTTATCTAGTTTTGATGTCTAGTATTAGAATTTAAAGGCCATTAATTAAACGGCTGCGTGTATGCACAATTATGGAACATACAACTCCATCTCCTGGTCAGAAAATGGACGAAGAAGCACTTATTACAACTTACATTGAGCTCGACCTACTGATATTAACAGATAGTAAGATGTCTTTGAAGTTTAGATACTGTGTGACGATATAATTAATTCTTTTTATCAACGTGTGTTCTAAAATTTTAGTTTTAATCAGTGTTGTGTTAATGAAATTAAATGACACTTTTGTCTTTATTGTTAGCATTGTCGAAACTATTAAATAAATGTTAGAAAAATCCCGTTCTTTTTCCGTTCAAATTTGAAAAATTAATAATTTTTCAAATGCATTATTTTATTGTTTAAAGAAAATCATTTTTATTATATATATACCAATATATATAACAAATATATAACTTTCACATTATTACCAATTATAATGGCAAGTTTTTTTTTTAATTTTTGGAGTCATTATCGTATAATTTGTTTTTAAAACAAATAACAAATAAAAATTGCTAAAAATTTATTATTTAAAAATTAGCATATCAACAAATTACACTAACAAAAGTTTAATTTAAACTAAACGCTTTTAGAGCTGTTTATCTTTCTGTCCTTTGGTAACTATGTAAGCTTACTGTACGTAATACACATCAATATCAGTAAAAAGTGAGTGTAAAAACGCACTCAATTATTCTATACCAATCGACCCTGAACTTAGCACATCTAAGAAAGCAAATATAAAAAAGAAAACTCGATATAATTATAATAACATTCATTTTTAAAAATAAAACTCATTTTTAAAAAATCGACGTTTCTAATTTTACAATCTATTCTTTTTTACATTCTACACAACTTAGAGGTAAAATATAAAACAATAATAATAATAATAATAATAAATTACCTCAATTTGAAAGACATATTTCAATTCTAAGCAGAAAGTTAGCAGGCAGTGAAAAAAAACAGGATGTTATGCAAGCTATTGCTAAGCAGGGTCAATCAATTGATTTAACATTTTACGATAATAAAAACGAATACTGTTCCGTTTGGAATATTTATCGCAATGCGATAAATTAACGTCTTCATCATTGTAACGTCTTAACAGTCTAAGAAGCAACTTTCAAGCTACGAAATTATTTTACTTTTGAGAGGAACCGATTCGATACCCTCTTCCGCGGTAGCGCCGTTCTTTTTCGTTTCACTAGAGGGATTGTTCCATTTTTGTAGTTCACCGGTGCCGAAAAGGGCAAATGTTATCGCACCGATAAAGTATGAGGCCGCCAAGGTCCAAAAGATGATGGTCCATTGCGAGTAAGTCTGATTCTTGTACGTGATGGTGCCGACCATGAAGCTGCTAAGAAAACCGCCTATCGAGCTGAAGGTGTTGGCAATACCGAATATGGTCCCGGAAAAATTGGGCGCGATGTCGAGACCATTTCCCAAATAACCGGCTGTCACGGCACCGTTTATCGTCAGACCGACGGTAAATATTGCAACCGATGCCGCGCGATTGCAACCATAATATACTTGAATCACCATGAGGATGCTAGGGATTAGAATAGCTGAAAATTAGAGTTGCTTCGTTAAAATCGAAAATAAAATTTTTCGGTCCAATTACAAAAATTAATACTTTATTTATTTCTATATATCAGAAAAATTTAATCATGCATTATTTGATTATCTGAAAAATCTCATTTCATTGTCATATTTAAATTATGAGATCAAAAATCGCGAAACTTTACTCACCGAATGTCGTGAAAATTTTGCGTATTGCAGTTACGGATAGCTTGTTGATGCGAAGTAGGTAATCGGCCAAAGTGGACATTGATAATGCGAAAATATACTTGCCGAGATACGGTAACGAGGATAAAAGGCCGTTCTACACAAAGTTTTCATTTTTGAATATTAATATGATATTAACGAATTTTATTATTACATGAAAAAAGAGTTTGGTTGTTTTTCGACGAAACATAGAATTACTGGTTAAATCGACTAGAATTCCTTTTAATACAATAAGAATCTTGATTACACAACAAATCAGGAATTCTGGTCGATTTAACTCTCTGTTTCGTCGAAAAACAACCAAACTCTTTTTTCAATATACGATTGACAATACGTACCTCCTTAATGTTGAAGTGCAAGATATATTTCATGTAAGTCGGAAGCTGATTTACGACGGTGAAGTAACCGAAAACGCTGCATGCGTGCGTTATTACGATAGCCCAGACGGGTCCAGAGGTGACAATTGAGCGCCATGGAACTGGTAGATGCTGCAATTAAATATCGAATTAATATTTTACGCATATTAATCAAATCTTCGAAGAAAAAAAATAATTAAATAATTTTTTTATATACACTCTATATAGAGACAGATATATATAAAAAAATTATACTCTATTTAAGAATTCAAGAAATGTGCAAATAATTCTTTTCAAAATTTAAATATATCTTAATTTACATTTCTCTACTTTGCTTGCTTTGAAAAGATTAAAATAAATTAAAATATTTTATCACTTAAAATTAAAATAGATTCCAGAATTGAAATATATAAAAATAGCTTTCTACAACTACAACCTTATCGGTAGCGGTAGTTCCAATTGCATCCTCGATATAACGTCGCTCCTCCTCGCTGATGCGCGGATGCTGCGACGGTGAGTCGAACACCAGCAAGAACCACGCCACGCTCCATATAATCCCAATCGTGGCGGTCACATAGAAGACCGACTCCCAGCCGAGTGAGTCGATGAGGAAACCGCATATCGGCATAGTTATCGCGGCGCCAAGCGACGAGGCTGCAAATAACGATGCAATTTATGGCGCGGCGTTTAATGCAGCCGGCGCATCCGCGGCCATAAAGCGGCTATGCTATTCCGCTATTTTTGTCGTGTGTATATGTACGTTTCGAGTTTCTCAGGTTTTTCGAACTGTGGAAAAAGACGATTATGGCGAACGACTTCACTTACGCGAAACCGACTACACGATCGCGCGCGCGCGCGCCAGGCGAATTAGATATCATGATCCATTTACCCATCATGTTAGAGACGAACTTGCTACGCTCCGTAGGTGGAATCCATCGAGCAGTCATCGGCTGGATGGCAGGCCAGGTGGCACCCTGATTTGATGAGATATTAATTAATTAATTTTGAGAGATTACGTACAAAGAGAGCAGGAGAGACAGAGAAATGTTTGATAGATTGAAAACGTGAGTCAGATCATTCATAGCCTATATACATATCCATGTATATACGCATTTATCTTAATTATAGTAATTCGTAGAAAAATTGCGACATACCAGCATAAATCCCAGTATTATTCTGAGAGCGGCGACGACGGCATAGCCGAACGTGGCTGATATTGGTGTCAGCAAAGTGATGAAACTCGACACCAGCATGCTGTAGCCGAAGACCTTCCTAGTGCCAATTACTTCCGCAAGCCGACCACCCGGGATCTCCGTGCATATGTAGCCCCAGAAGAAGCTACCGAGAATTAGATTCACCTCGTATTCGTTCCACGGATACTTGGTCTGGGGTCGTTCCTCCTGAGGTTAAAAATCGAGGAATTCACGAAAGAATTAGAAAAGAGACTTCAAAATTGAATAAGAGAAAGAAATTGAAATTAAAATGTGAATTAATTAAATGGTCACGTGATATAATCGCGATTAAAGTAAAAATATTTTTTTAGCTCAAAAAAAGAATTTTGTGATGATTCTCGCACGATTAAATTAGCATGCATAAATTTAGCGTCGGTTTCTCGAAGATGTTAAATGTAAGAACTCGTTCGACGGGGTCATTAACCATGCAAGTTCGACTTTACGTGAGTCTGAACGAACCGGGTGTCGCAGTGGGAACGATGGTAGAAACGTAGTGGCGTTATTCGTCTCGTTGACTCTATTAACGCCGACGTGAATCGCTGGGATCCTGGTGTCGTTCGGGGTGAGATCGTTCATCATCACCGGCCGGGCAGCGCATTCGTCCAGCACCGACGACGATTCGTTGGAATGTAAATGTTGACTGCTACTATTGTCCGGCGTCACCATCGAGACGATCGCTATCGTCAAATTCACGCGTAGCATGTAGTTCAACATAAAGCCGAGAATCACCATGATGTTGAGCACCTGCCTGCATGAGAGGCGATCTGCAAGCGCATTTCCGGTTTATTGTTGTGACTCTAAATCGATCACGAACATTCGGTAGCTGTGGTAGATCAATGCAGAAATAATAGCCGATTTTCAATATTTTTAAAATTTCTTTCTTATCATGGGGGATTTTTAAGTAAAATATTTATATTTTTTAGTGTGTATTATTTTATAATTATCTGCAAGACACATATTTAATAGAATTTATATTTACTATTCTGAATCGGTTAATTCTTATTAAAACTTTTACTAATTTGTTTGTGTAGAATATTTGTGCTATAAAATTATTAGAAAATAATAAGCAGTGTAATAATCTCTTTTAATTAATAATGTAACGATCTCTTTTTTCTACATTTTTTAATTTATTTTTAAAACATATAATTAGTTCTCTAAATCACTTTTTATATAATAGTATTCGAATATCTAAAAAATTGTAGGAGTTTATATATAGTAGTTTATGTTTACATAGATATCCCCGAAAAGATTAAATTTCTGCCTTGATCTCCATTCTGCTCGAGTGATGCTAATTTAACTTTATTTGTCATCTTTTATTCTAGAATTTTTACACAATTGTTGTCAATGCAATGTATTTGATTGAAAACAGGACGTTAACAAATATATGTACGAGTGCGGTCTGCGTCACATGTCTTAAGCGGCGTAAACAATTTTTACGTAATGCACATATGCGCGTGATACACGCGACCACATATGTATATTTTCGGTCCATCACTGATCTCGGCACATCCGCAACTCATCTCGAGGTCATCGTTGGAAATCCCGGATGTTGAAATGCGCGGGCAGAGATCATGCTTCTTAGCCTTTATTATCATATAAACGTTATCACAGACCCTCCCCGAAATTTTAAATTATTGTCGCGCATTCACAACGGAGAATCGATTAATTAAATGTACTTCGCGATTGTGCCAACTCACGAGTCATCTACTCGTGTCCGTTTTGCTTTAATGAGTTGTCGTATAGGTAATGTCAGACCTCGGCCACTGTCCACCTTGACAATTTTCACGTTCATTGGCAAACCGCTGAAATTATTTCAAGAATGATGCGAGCGAGCCAATTTTCTCCTAGTTTCTCCGCGCGAAAGCTCCAAGTTTTGCGAAATCTTACGTCAATGGATCGAACGAGACTTGGAAGAAGCTCGCGGAAAGTAGCGGGCGAGCCCGTACTTATTTGTTAGTTAGTCGCAACGCACAAACAGGCGCACCTCGTCCCCGATATTAATAGTCCGTTCTGCATTAGATCCTTTTGCATCGTTCGTCTTGCAATACCTGTGCAATAATCGTAGCTAGTTACTTTGCTTATCGCGAAATTTGCATTGGTTATCGCACAAGTATTCGACGCTTCAGTATACATACAATGAAATCAGCATATGTATTTTGTTTAACAAATTCCAGCGCGTGAATAATGACGATTTCTTGGCCTACTTTCATCTAAAACATCGATTTTTTTTCTCAATAAATATTAGGTGGTCGATCTATAATTTCGTGTGATATCGTTAATTAAAAATGAAGCTCATCCCACGATTCAAATAAAATATTTTGATTCTCTCTTTTTATTTCAGCGGAATTTATCGGTTTTTATATATAAGAAATAACAATGGATTATTATATATAAACAATTTATTTTTGCCAGAAATTAATGCTTCTTTGACTTAGTTCTTTTTTCTTAATTTATGCTAAACATGCTTATCTTTGACGCATTTAATTATTACAACAGCGTAACGCGAGTTAAGCAACAAAGAAGTCGATTCCAACATATCGTTGCGCAATTTTAATACACGTGTTTATCTCGAGCGATGAAGATGAACGGCCGTCAATCTATGAATGATTATTAAGTCATATCAAGCCGTAAAAGCATGTAAATGCGGCATTTATGTACAAAAAGTCTGTACGAACAATTTGCAAATTAAGCTTACATTCATCGATGCATGTATTGTCCACGTAAAGTCATGCTATAACCACTACATCTGACGTAACCACGTTCGCGAGGAAGGTCGAATAAAATCGCAGGCAGGTGCATTCTTATCGCCTAGTACGTGATTCATCCGATTTTAGCGATTTCGTGCTCGTCAAAGTCGTTTCGTCTTTCGCATTTTTACGTGAGAATCCACTTAATTATCGAGATAAGCACTAGTTATTTTTTATTCCTATTACTTAACTTTAACTGGTTCTGCTGACGACCGGTAAAAAAAATATGCAAATTGAAAGAAAAGCAATTAACTAAGAATACACTCTGGATCCGTCTCTTACACAGATAAGGAAATTAAATTATATTTACACATATACGCGCCTGTAAAATAAATAGATATTAACACATTATTTTAATTTTAATATTGCACGTAATATATAATTTATTTGTAATTTTATTTATTATATTAATATAACTCACAACATTCCTGTAAGTAATTTCATCTATTAATTTCCATTAATGCAATCATGTTTTTTAAATGAGAAAATTTTTTTCCATTGGAATGGATTATACTATTTCTCGCTTCGTTGGCTTGTGTCGTACAAGGAAATGCTGCATTACTAATAATCCATGACGATGATTACGAAACTGATTAGAAATCGTCTGTTCATTATTTTCACTTTAATCAGCATGTGTATTTGTATACGTATCTGCTGACATATGTACATCTGTTAAATTCCATTTACGTACATCAACGTAAATTCTATTTTCGTGTCTGATCTGAATAGCCAATTGACGTTTTGGCATCTTACAATTAGCTGCATGCTTCCACAGTTTTTCTCCTATTAGCCATATTAGCATATGTTTCTCTTTATTTTAACGTTATTGATTATATATACGTTGCGCATATACGTAGAATTGCATTTAAACAGACGAGATCGTGGATGGATGATTCGGACGATTGGAGAGAAGTACCTGTTTAAAAATCCAATCTAGTCGATGATAATGATGCTCGCGAATCAAGAGTCTACCCATTCCGCATGTCGTGCTATCCACTTAACCACTATTGCGACTATCACACTCCCTGATCGTGTATGTAATTGGGAGTTGTCACAATAGTTAAACATATTGCGTTTTCTAATATTTTCAATTCGAAGTCGACTTCGAACTGATAACAGATATAAAATTAGCTGATAATAAATGTAAAATGCCGCATGATGGTAATGCAATACGTTGATTATTCAATTCAAGTTGTGACGAATGTCAAAATGAAAACTTTTGAATCGTTAATAAAAAAACACTAATGATATATTTGTAAGAGAATCTGTAAACTCTGATGACAATTAATAAACATCAATCCAATATAATTTACTTCCAATTCTCGGGATTATTAATCTTATTAATATGTAATTTTAATGAATACTCTACTTATATCTGATTATCAAATTAATCGAAATAACGTGAAAGTTAATTACTTATTCTTGATTAATTAATATCTAGAATAATGTTATGTCAATATTATTTATTCAGGAATAATAGTACTCTTTTCAGTTATAACAGACAATGTGCACTGTTTTATTTTTCGAATACGCTTTAATAAATTTCTATAAAATCATGCGTTAACGCATGTGAGATGCACCTTGGTTTACACGTCATTGCAGGGTCATCTTAAATGGCACTTGGTGTCGCTAATTATAACTTTTATGGCCATCTTTACACCTGATCATCAAGTCGACTCGAAGGTCGTATCATTTTAATGACCTCGATAATATGATATGATAATTTAAATTGCGAAAACTACACGGCACGAAGAGCAATTTTGAAGGAATTATATATAGAATAAATTATAAAAAAATTATCTCGTGGATAATATCTTTCTGTTTTATCTCACAATTTCTTGGGGACGCACCTTTGCATTGACATGCATTTCGTTTGTTATTTTGCCGGCACTAATCACGACCTTCACCCAGAACTCGGTACACGGTTTCTCGCGAGTTATTTATATCGAGTCGATTTCGTCGTTTCGCGTAGGCTTGAAATAGCGCACCTGCGCGCTTTTGAAAGCTGAGAGTTTGATGACTCGCTACTTTAAACGATTGGAAACATCGATTCGGGTCAAGACACGGGTTTAACGATGCAGACGGTGTTATCTGCGAGCGTCGTTACATGAATTCGTATCTCACTGGATGGAGATTAGAGGTTGGTGCGCGTTGCGTCGTTGTGTGGACTATGAGCGACTATTAATTCACACGACCGCCTTCTGTCGATGATACGCGAACGTAGTCGATGATACATATTAACCTCAGGAGCAGGCAGTTGAGGGTTCGGGGCAAAGAATGCTCGCGATATTTTCAATCGCGATAGACAATGTGCTCTCATATTTTATGGAAATTTCATTCAGAGATCATAGATTATATACGCATGATCATTTCCTCTATACATATATGCTAGGCATCAAATTACCAATGCCTTATAATGTCTTTCTTATTATTCTACATATTCGCTCATGTTTTTTCTAGTTTCAAAACACATAAGAGATAATTAGCATATCTTTTTTTTAATTTATTATATATAGCATTTATTATTATTAACTTTTTATCTATTTTTCGTCTTATTTAACTTTTATAAGCCGAGTGCGATTAATAACATATTAAGAAGAATAATATAATAGTTATATTTAATATTTTTTGATAAGAGATATTTTTGTATAAATATATTTTTATATTATCACTTGTTTCTAAAGTTAATATGCAACAGAGTTATACAGGAAAAAGACGATTTCCACGAAATTGAGGCTTTGTATTATTGTGTTCTTTCCATTACTTTAGTACTTTATTGTTTCTATGACTTTAATTCGTTATTTCTTTGAATTATGCGGTTTCTTGTGACAAATCATCCTTTTTTAAGAATATATTAACGTCTAAGCGGAAACCGCGTTTATTGTCGTCTGTCACGGGATATTAAGCGCACAACTTAAATCCTGCCCACATTTAAAATCTGTCATTTTTTCGGAACGATAATATCTTTACAAAAGAACATTTGTGTTAAACAAAAAATATTCTTAAAAAATATAACAATATTAACTGCTGTTTTTGCTCTTTTGTGTCTAAATCATTCAATTTTATAGATACATATGCTTTGATTCACTAATTATCTACTAATTTACTTTTACTTATTAATATATAAGAGGATTCATTTTTGTAAACGTTACAATAAAATTCGATTAAAACTTAGAACACATTTTTAAGCGTGCTAAATTGCTGTTTTAACTTTAACTGACATAAAAATAGATGAAAACACAAACATAATTACAATAATATTTTGAAAATATATATATATTAAGGTTGTCTCATTTCAAGAAATTATCGTTTTATCAAGTGTTAAAAATGTATTATAAAGAATTAAAATTTTTTACTTTAGTCGTGCATAACATCAATCATTACTGATTAAATTTTAATTAATTTTATCTTTTAGTTTTATGTTTGAAAAAACAATTTTATTAATAAATAATTTTTATCAATACTTATGGACGATAAAAAACCATCATGAAAATTATTAAATCTAGTCTTACAATATTATTCGAATTCAAACGCCATACATGTAAAACAAATTGATGCAACTAGCTAAAGAGTATTTTTTTATTTTTATGGATTAAAGTCTAATAAACATCTTACGTTATCTCATGTTATATCAAACATTAAGAATAATATTTGTAAATTGTAAGAGAACTTTGATCAAACCAATGCAATATGTACGCGTTATATGTTTATATTCTATTTAAAAAAATTTTTTAATATATGACGTTTTTATATTTTTTGGTAACAGTATTATTAATGCAGACGATCACGAAATTTTTATTTAATTAGAAGCATACAACATGTGATTACTTTGTATTCTGACACATACGTACACATAACATGATAACATATAAATATATTTTCATATTAATTCAACGAAGGACAAGATAAACATCAGTTTAATTTACTTCTATTATTTGCTATTATTACAGTTTGTGTGCTTCTTCTTCTTTTATGCTAATTATAATAATTATTGTAAATAATTATACATTTATTCTTACAATTCTTTACTATATTCATTATATTCATTTTGTAACAATTATTTTAAATAGCTATGTTAATAGCTCATGTACACACACTTATTTTTATTCAAATTATGTTGTTGAAAATATATAGTTGTAGAACGAAATATCAAAATAGATCCTCTAAACCGATACATTTATATTTCTCAGCATTAAATGTCGCATTTTATTAGAGCTGATCCCTTTAAATAATTTACTTATTAGCAAACTGTATTTTGCACATTGATTATTTATTTATATACTAAATCAACTTGTATTCTTTAAGTTTAAATGTTTTACTTCTGAATTTTTTTACGAATTATAATCTAAATAATAAAGTATCATTTTCGCGATATAATAACATTATTCGTTCACATTTATAAATTATTTTATTTTAATTTTTTATCAAGATGTGTTTTATGTTTCTGTAATTTTTAACGAATATTTTAGATATCAATTTTTCGATCTTCAAATTTAACTTGCTTCTAATAAAAAAAAAACATTATTTATTAAAGATAAAATTTAGAATAACATTATCAAACACAATCTGATAAAGAAATATAGTCTCTAAATATTGTCTCTAATAAATATTTGCGGACTTAAATTTTTATTTTAAATATTTGGCTAGAATTTTAAAGAGTTTAAAAAGAAAATAATAAAACAGTTCAAATACAAAAAGTGTTTCCTCTTGGTTTTCAAAGGACATAGAATAAATATTATATTTAACGTTTCGTTTCTTTAATCATCGACTTACCCTTCAACATACGACGATTGGAGGCCATTTCACTGTTATCTTTGTGTTTAGCGATAATTACAAATAAGGCACGCTCACTGTATACAAGAGGTGTACAAATGGATCAATTTTTTCTCCGCCTTTATAAGTTCAATACACTTTGAAAGTCATCAATTAATCTTGCTTCTTTATTATATTTGCACCATATATAATCGTATATCTCCTCTGTTGGTCGTAGTCCTCTTCACGTTCATGCATAAACAATCATATCATCTGAATATTTGTGACACCAATTTTCAACCCCATGAAACTTTGAGAAAAGCTCCGCAAATTCCGCCCGAGAGAGCTGGTTCTCGCTAGCGTTGTAGCTCGCTCGCTCGCCGTTCTTTAACTGTGCGTGCTCCTAGTTAATGCTGCCAAAATCTCTACGAGTCAGCGCTTGTTGCTCCGAAAACGAGGATGGCGAAGAGGAGGCCTGTCAATAGCGTCAGAGTTGCGACACCGGCGTCTTCCGCGGGCCGCGTCGTTCTATCGCCTCGCTAACGTTCTTCGGTGTCGTAACGAAGGCTACGCACGATGGAGGAGGAAAAGAAGAGAGAGATAGAGAGAAAGAGGGGCACGACCAAGCACGTCACAAGCACACGTGTCTGTGCACAATGACGTGCTTTGTTCGACGCACATCGAAGAGAGGAAATGCCCCACCAACTTTTCTTACCCCCGTATAATCTGTCTTTCACCCGGAGAAGGGACGCAAAATTAGGATTCAGGTGGGCTCGGGCGAAATGTTGTCCATTAGGGAAAGGTGCGTTGAAGGTTCCCTATTATATACGAAATCCAAGAAAGAAAGTACTCAAAGATTTATTAAATCTTGGATGATTGGGAATTTGTTGAAACTTGCGAATTTGTCGGGTATCTTTCGTGTGAACTCTTGATGGTATTGTATTTTTTGTCGCTCAGATTCACGCATTCTTTTTCTAAATAATTTTTAGAGAAACCGTAAGTTGTTTTCTCTTTATTTATGCACTCACTTGAAATTTTTGAAAAGTATTCTTTCGTTTTTTTTTAAACATTTATATATTTTTAAACTATTATTTAATTTTATTAAACTAATTAAATTATTTAATTAACTAATGATGTACGAGAAATAATAAAATATTTACATAATACAAATACATATGTGTATATACATATAGACTGTTTGATAAATAAGAGAAAGAAAAGAAAAATAATATGTTTAGAATGAATGGTATTTATGTTTCAACATCTTCTTTTGGTTTAGCATATTTATTATAATGATGGTAGAGGATCATTATATAGAACGATTTTTTTTGTATTTTAACGAACCCTTCAAAAGAGTCATTTACATAATTTTGATGAGTCATTTCTTTTGATTGGAAAGTAAATTGGTAGTCATAAGGGGTGAAAAATCTAACATATATACGATGGCAATTCGAAGCTTAAGTCGTGTATTTCGAAGAAATAAAATCTTTTGGCAACAGTGAAACTATTGATATCGTAAATGATTATTCTGAAGAACTCTTAAATATTATCCTTCTTCTAGATAATTAAGTTATTTTAATTATTGTTAATTTGATTTTAATAAGCCTCGGACATCATTGGGCTAACATAAATGTGTAGAGCTAAAGAGTTAAAAGGAAATTATGTGAAAAAACAAATATTATTCAATCTAATTATAATTCTTTTTGTTTATCGTATTTACGTATCAAACAGTTCACTTATATGTATATGTAAACACAATATAGTATCAATAAAAGTTTATAATTAGGCAGATATTATATGTGTTAATTGCTAGATAATTTTGCATATAGTCGCGGATTCGCATTAAACGATAGCCTAAAGTTAATGGGTTAGTATAATTCCATGCTTAAAATACCTCGTAATCGTTCCTTGCTCCGTTACTTCGTCAAGAGATAAATCTTTGCAAAGTGTCGGAAGATAATTGTTGTCTGCAACGACATGTTGTAATGCTACGGCGTTATCGTGACGTTATAGTGATTAATCAACGTCAGTATTAATTCGCTGATGTAGTTTCTGCGTTCTAATGACTATAACTGGTAGTTACCAGCCGTATTTATCACTATTGCTAATGTTTCCTTTCTGACACGGTTAATCGGATTTGTATAGATTTGCCAACTGTCTTTTGGATTAAAGATACCTACTTTTCCGTGAAATTTCACAATTTTTTTCAATTAAATATTGACTGAAATAATCCTTGAATTAGAAAATTATGTATATATATATATATATGTGTGTGTGTGTGTGTATAAAATTTAGAAAATTAAAAGTAAAATAACGAAAGAAAGAAATTTTCATTAAATTAAAGGAACGCTTAACTAGAAAAAGTAAAATAACTAAACTATACGGTGTATATTTTTTATTTTAATATTTTTTCAGAGAGGGAGTTAAAATTAATTAATTAGATTTTTGCTTTAAGCTTTATTATGCAAACGAAATTATAAGACTTATTTGTATGTACATATTGATTGCCTTTAATTCGTATTACATAATTTAAGACACGATATAATTCTTTACATAATTTTTGTTTTTTCTTGATATATTTTATCAAATGTTTACGCAATATATTTTCTAAATGATACTTCAGTAAAGATATTTTCAAAGATTGCCTTGTGTTTCCAGAAATTTAAAGAAAATGATTGAATTATCTTGTCAGAGACGATTTCTCTGAACCTTATAATCTTGAAATAAACATTAAATTCCACTATGTTTCAGTTTTCATAAAAAAAAAAAAATATATATTTAAAGTTATTAATATTAATTATATGAATGAGAATATTTGCAAAGACGTGTCCTTGCAACGATATTAAATGCAATGAGTATATAAAAATATCCATTTAATTCCTTTTTAAAGTATATATATCAGTACGCGCTAGTCTTTGCAGAGAATATCAAACACACTTCCTGTCTTGTAATTCCGTGAACCATTTTATATGTTCGTTTATATCTCAACTAGCAAAATATCTCTCTCTCTTTCTCTCTCTCTCTCTCTCTCTCTCGCATTTATTTTTTGCATCTGTTGCATAAGTTCCTTTAACTTCGGATAGATTTCATAACATACACGTTACGCGCGTTCAATAACCAATAATTTTAACGAGTTACTTACATCACGCGTATTTTTTTTTTTTTTTTTTTTTTTTTTTTTGAGAAAGAAAAAAAAACAAGAAACGTAACGCTCGATGATTAATCAAGTATATTGAGCTTGCTATTGGTCTTTCTTAATTGCGCTCGCCAAGGTATAATTTGACCGTCGTCGGAATCGTCCTTGGCAGGATCATCCCGTTTTTCGTCGACCTCAGATTTATCTTCCTTCTTAGATACCGCCACCGGCGAAACGTCCCTCTTCGTCGGGTTCGTCGTTGTTGCCTCCAACTTTGACGTCGACGTGGACGCTTGTGTCTGGTTCAGTCTGCAACTAATAACATGAGGAACATTTTTGACATTTAATATATTAAAAATGATCGAATTAGTAAAATAAAATTGTTGAAATGAAATCATGCAAGAAATAACATAGCAAGAGAAAAATAAAATATAAAAGAAACGTATAAAAGATCTTGTAAATTATGGAGATTCTGATGGTTTTGTTTCGCGCTCGAAACTCGAAACAGATGTTTCGAATAATGATATATATTATCGAGTAATGCCGTATGTCTCCATATGGACAAAGATGTCGCTTGATTATTTGACTGACCAATCTTTTAATTTACGCATATAATATCACGACATACATTGCGTAATTTTGTATGTAACACGAGGCAGAGGAACTTAAGGTCAATTGCAACGAGGGGCAATTGTAATACTTGCGAGATAATTCGAGCACTTAATCCCCTACATACTTATTCAAAATAGATAGAGCTAAATCCTATAAATTAATGTGAAGTAAATCTCTTCTTAAGAGCGCCGAATGTGATTTTGTTGGGAGCAGTTAAAAAATGTATTGCCGTGAACTATTTTAATTAATTCCAGCTTTATCCAATCGATGAGAAATGATATGCAACATCACACTTGATTGCAATCTGATTAATCCCCATACCTCTTTTCCTCGTTATCTTTCTTGGCGAGAAGCTGTCGCTTCCACGGTGGAATTGCTTTCTGCCGCCTCTCTTCGTTCTCTCGCGCTATTTGCTCCTCGAGTTCCTTCTTCGCTCGTTCAGCGGCCTTTCGAGCTAACATTTGTCGCTTCCAGATTGGTATCACATTTCCCGAACTGTCCTTCTCCGGAATCTACAAAAATGTAAAATGTAGGATATGAAAGAAAATTCGGGATTTCAAATATTATAGAAAAATCTTTCCGCAAAAAATTAAACTAACATTTAGAAAAATAGGCTTTGCGGTTTTTGTTTTTACGCGATTATATATATTTCCTGAGAAAAATATAAAGTAAAATGCTTACTTGATCAACGAAGTTTGTAACGCTAAACGCTTTGTTGATTTCCGACATGAGATTCTGCTCTTGAGTCTTCTCGACTTGTGCTCTTTCCACTTTTAATTTTTTAATACCTGGTATATCCTTGGTGCGCTTTAATTCGGCAATTAGATCCGTTTTTTGCACGAAGAATGGTTCAGAAACTGAAACGAACAATTTCACTTCATTTATATTTCTCAATTTATCCGTGTATCTTGCTTTCATTTTTCTTACAAGAAAATAATGTAAATTTGATAAATGTCAAATTTGTTACCAAAAATTATATTCTTTTATCTTTTAATAAAGAATATACATTACATGTATATATAGGATAATAAAAATACCGAGAGCTAAATGTATTTAATATGACATAGAATATAGCTCTCTGCACGCGAGGCTGAAATCTCGCATGTTGTTAAGGCGTTAAATTATATGTGTGTTATTATGTGTTATGTGTGTCGTGCGCGGACCAGCTTACCGTTAGTCATAGACACGCTGCGCGGTGGCGGAGCTGAGAACGTCTTGGTGGCGTTCATCTTGGTGCCGGTCCGTCGTAGCTGGATACTCGTGAGGTCCTGAATGCTGATTGTGGCCAAGGGTTGCGGGATCTTGGAGCTTTCGGTCTCGTTGCCGGCGTTGCTCGCGGCATTCGGGCCTTGACTCGCACTATGTGCTCTCTGCTGCAAAGGAGACAGCGGCGGTGGCGGTGGACCCGTAGGTGACCCCTTGACCTCCTCGCTGCTCCTTCGCGTTTCTTCTACCTCGTCGGCCTCCTCTTCCTCTCGCGGCTCCGTATTCCGACTTTGGATGTCCAAGTTGTCCACTGACCTGCGAGCGCGATTTTCACATTGTCACGCGGCCAGAAAATTTCCAAATAGCGCTGTTCGAAGGTATAATAAATCCGTCTTCATTCGAGAGAAGAGCCTCGAGGAATTTTTATTTGTTTTCCTCGTGATTAAATGTAGATGAACTTTAGATATGTTAGCTTTAGAGATTTCGAAGAAGATATTATTTTGGTTTTAATAAACGAAAAGTAATTTCTCAATATATAAATTATATTATAATTGATAAATTAATGGTACCTATCAGTCGTAAAATAACCTTGTTTTTTAAATCCATGAAGATTGAATTGATAAATCATATACTGTTATTTTTTTATTTATGTACTTGAATCGTATATATCACTCTGTAAAGTAAATAATTGTTAAATAATTATACGAATGTGATGAACGAAGCATTTAAACCGCTCGAATCAAAAATTCAAATCACCATTTTCAAAACAGCGCAAGGAGACAAAATGAATAACATCGCTCTTCGTTATTCATTCGAACCTCACATAAAACGATGCATAAACATAAGATAAAACACTATACAGGTTGAATATGAAATCGCAAATTTTTAAATAGATTTAATTACTCAAAACAACGAGATGTAATCTTGTTTGTTGAAACACCGTGCGCGTAAGAGATTGAGAAACAAGACAAGGCGGAAGTAGACACAGAGTTGATAATGACAGGGAGGATCACTGACCTCGCTTTCGACAGACTGTTCTTGGACGTCCCCTTGCAGATACTCTTCAGGTACTCGGACGGTTTCAGCAGGGTGTTGGAGTCCGCGTTGGCGAACTTGGGCGGTATGAACGGCAACACCATGTGCCTGTTTACCAGGTGGGATGCCTGGCTCGCTTTAATTTCGTCCGCATCCACCGGTGCACTGGCAGGAGGCGGCACTTCCGGTTGCTGCTGATGCTCGCCAGAGGATGATACGTCGGACTTGTTGGTCGCTGTTCCGAGACCGGCGGTATTAGAGAAAGAGAGACAGACGCAGGAGAGATAGAGAAAGAGAGGGATAGGGTGTAAGTGTGGTAAAAGAGGTAGATAGGTAGGCAGGCAAAAAAAAGGTGGGGAAGAGTGGGTCCTCGTTATATCCTCTAAGCATTGGACGAGGTGGTCGACGCGGGCAAGTGAAATCTAGGTAAGTATATTATATGCCCGATGAGTGCCATGGTCTAGTAAGTGAGCCGGCTATCTCGGCGCTAAGCGTGATCCGCTAACAGTTTAATTAACCGCCGAAGTATGAGGGCGGCAGCGATCCCAAATCGAGATCGACCTCCCTTCTTTCTCGCGCCAAATCGCGAGCCGGTCTAATTAGACGCCCGCAGATAAATATCGGGGCGAATAAATTTGCGCTCGAGCCTAACTGTAAGCGCTGCTCGTTCGTACAACCGATTCTCCTTAATTGCTCGTTTCGACGATCGTCACGTGAATGCAGAGAGGCGCGTCGGGAGGAACGCGCCGAAAAATTTAAGCGTAATTCGCGCGAGTCAACACGCCCGGCCGACCATCGGCCGATTAACGCGGCGATAAAGACGCGGAATTATGAATTTTTTTATAGCCTAATATTTTATAACGCGCGCGAGTTATTTCCTGCTAGACGATTTCGGAGAGTCGATCTTGAGATCGAGATCTCTAAGAGAAATTCATTAATTAGCGAGAATTTTATTAAATTTCCAGAGATCGATTAAATATCGACGACAAACTCTAAACTCTGCAATGAATTATTCTGCAAATGACGTTGTTAAAATGAGGAGATTCATTAATTAAAATCTATCGAGGAAGTATTTCAGTACAATAGCCTTCGCGAGGACCGGTAGTTGTTGAACGTCGATTGGCAATAAAATTATTCATGCGCGACGCGATTTTTAGAGATGAGCTTTCGACAAGAACGATCTTCTTTTTGCTTAAATATCGAGAACCGTTCGCGCTTATCGCGAATAAAGTGAAACTACAGTTTTTTTGTTAGGTATCCTTTTAATTGCCGTGAAATTATTAAAAAAATTCTCCATAAGTTTTTAAATTAGTTTTTAAATTATCGATAATTATCGACAATTGCTTTTATATAAAGATATCCCGGAAGGTAGCGTGCTTTCTTCCGATCGCAGATCGATCTTTCAGATCGTTTGATTCGAATGCGTTTTATTTCGCAATGTAGACACGCGCGGAATATCACGTTATTAAACGCGCACACGTGTTTAAAATTAAGCTGCAACTTTCACGCGGCATTTGTGCAAGGGAGCGAAAGGATACTGCAGAGAGACCAAAACGCGATTTCTTACCGGAAGACTCGCTTCTTCCGTCCTGGCCGCTTCCTCGCGCGTCTTTCTTGTCAGCGTTCGCATCTATATTCGGTTTTGCATTTACCAGAACGACCACCACGTCGTCATCCGGTGGTGGTGGAGGTGGCGGTGGTGGAGGTTTCGAGAGACTAGAAAACAGAGATCTCTTTTTATTTGACGTTCTTATTTGGGCTTTTAATAGAATGTTTTCAAAAATATTACAAAGATGAATATCAATATTATCATTACTACAACTTTTGAAGGTATAGTATCTAGCAAGAAGTAGGTAATGATAAAAATTAGGTATAGAACAAAAAATTAGAAGATTAGTTAATTTCGTCAATTTAAAAAAAAAGGTAAGATGAGAAAAACAATTAGAATAACATATTTGTATATTTAATAACAGACAACGATAATAAATGAAGAAGTGGAAGCTGTTAAATTGATAAAGACAAGAAAAATGACGGAGATGTTTTCCAACTAGAAAACAGAGATCTCTTTTTATTTGAGGTTTTAGTGTGATGTTTTAAAAAATATTACAAAGAAGGATATTAATATTATCATTATTACAACTTTTGACAGTATAGTATATCTAATAAGAAGTAGTAATAATAAAAATCAGGTATCACAAAAAATTAGAAGATTAGTTAATTTCGTCAATTTAAAAAAAAGGTAAGATAAGAAAAACAATTAGAATAACATATTTGTATATTTAAATAAATGAAGAAGTGGAAGCTGTTAAATTGATAAAAGACAAGAAAAAGGACGGGGATGGATGTTTTCCGTTTCGATAGCAATTCTTATTATTCGAGAGAGAATTTTTTCTACGGGGTTGATATCAATCATCCGCTCGATCACCCTATTTGCGATTATTCACGTTCGTTTCGTTTTGCCGATGCGCTAACGACCGCAAACTGTTACACTGCGTAAGAAAGCGGTCGTTCTCTGTATATGCTTGCAAAACATGGAGTATCTCATCTTCTGAAGGCGAGGCCGGGCAACAAAAGTCAACGGCGAAAAGGAACGAAGTGAGTCGAATCGCGCCAAATGGTGGCGAGCAAACTCGATCGACTTTCGATCGATCTTTCCTCCTTCTCTTACAAGCCGTCTAAAGCTAAATCTCAATCCGGTATCGATCCGCCCTACTTACCTAGGTCCGTTGTTGCCACTCACACGTATCTCCTTTTCACTTTCCACCTGCACGCCGGACAAGTCCTTCCTCTCTGCGAACCGAGACAGAACAGAGCGTTAATTAATCACAATCGTTCGTTTCCTCGATCGATTTAGGACTCTACAAGGTGGCCGTCATCATATATCGGCTGTAATTGCCGGGTGCTCTTTCTCGTACCCGTGAATTTTAAAATTAATATCGATATCGATTTATCAATATACTTTCTCCGAATACGACACATACTCGCACGTCTTTCACCTTGTATTCTCTAGATCGTATTTGAAGATCGAGAAGAAAGTTTCACTGGTTTCTTATAATAATCATCATCGCCATCGTCTTTCTAATTGGATCATCCTGCAGCTACTTTCGATTTTTGACGTACCATGAGACGCTTCCGCGTTTGTTTTGATTCCCGGCTTGCCGATTCGCTCGTTGCTGCTGTGTCGCGACAAGGACGGGGTGGATGTTGTAGATGACAAACCGTGGATCTCGCTGCTCATGTTCGAGGATTCGCTGGCGCTGCTGGATCGACTATATCGCCTGTCGGTTTTTCGGGAACGACTGAAATGTCAGAAACGTTCTATCGATGTTTCTCGCGAGTTCGCGATTATACGAGAGATTTCCGGAGATTAAATGTCATATCAATATCCGCGATCGCATTCGATATTGCTTATCTGCGAGATAAAATAAGCGAAACGAACGTGAAGTATAAAGATATCATCGCTCTCTATCTGCGAATGATCATCTTTTTCTGACTAAAAACCACACACAGACATACATATCGTTTTGATTTCGTAATACTTTTATATGTGTCATTTTAGATGCTGATGCATCGGATTTGTTTACCTTCGTGGCTTTGTAGTCGCCGATATAATTTTGTTATGCTGCGCTCATTGAATTCTCTCTTTGCAAGCACGCGATTCGTTATATTGAGAACATGAGAACAATACTAGTAACATGATATTCGTGTTAGCAAACTATGTTTACTGTCAATAATTTTTATATTTATAAAAAAAACAATGTTTAATAATTCTATATCTTACATTTTTAGTTTTAAATAGATTTTTTTTATATAAATATTTTTTACATATCTATACTTTTAGTATCTGTCTTTCAGAAAATTAGCTTTATAATTGAGAAACTAAATTTAAACAAATTTTCCAATTTTTACAAGAGGGGTCACAGATATTGAGACGAAAGCTTTTATTTCGTTTCCCACGAATTCGCTTAAATTGTGTTACCTGCTGTCGGAGGCATTGTCCGCCGCCTTTTTGCGCGACGACGAGCTCACGCTACTCGTTTCCTCTTGCCTCACGCAGATCTGCTCGTAAGCGTGCTCCGAAGGCTCTCTCGCGAGCTCGGAGCGGGCTGCGTGTCCGTTACTGGGATGCGGCCGGCCGACGAATCCGTTGTTGTTGATGTGCACGTCCACTTTCACTGAAAGCCAAAGCCTCGCTTGAAATATACACATATCGCACATCGAGAAAACGCAAAACGACGAGGCGTGTGCTAACGCTTCTCGCGCGAAACCGTCGCGTTCGAAAAGTTTCGCGGACAATTTTTTGACGTAAAGTTCGAGGCGATAAAAAATCGTCGAGCGATCGATCATTTTATTTAAAAAAATGTATAATTTCAATTATTACAAAAATTTTCGAATATAAATGGATTCTCTTTAATCGACGATTTTTTGCAGCATCTCGCGACGTCTCGCGATCGGTCCGTCTCGATCGCATTTCTTATTACTCTTACTCATTAAGAACCACTGCACTGTAACGGTTTAACGGTAAATCGCGCGCGAGTCTTTAACCCGGTTTCGCGGAGCGCGCGTGTAGTTCGCGACGCGTGTAGTTTTTTTCGCTCCCCCGACAATTATCCAAGTATCTTCTCTTCTTCTCTCTTTCCCGAGACGAATCTCGCGAAATTTTGCGCACATTAATCATATGTCGCTCATAAAAAAAAGGTCGCTATCAACTTTACCGCTCGCAAAGAAAAATGGATGGGAACGATAATTACGAGTTAGGTTCTCATAGTACGTAAAGGGTGAGCCGTGAATAGTCGAGTTACACATATTTTATTACTTGAATCTTAAAATAATATTTGCTAACCAAGAAAGATCCTAGCTTCTTAGAATTAACAATCAATACGATATTGTTATTGTTTGTCGAAGCGGATGCAACGAAGGCAAATAATCAATCTCAGCTTTGTTTAATCGAATGCAAGACTTTGTAAATATATCGTCGGGGGAAAAAAAGAAAGAGAGACAGAGAGATCGACAATGCCGAACATTGGATGCGAATTGAGGTCGCCCTGGAGCCAGAACACTTGCCGAGAGTCGGCAGAGAGCACACAGGGTGCGCCAGAATTACCGTTTTAATTAATCTCATCTCTAAATAACTCAATCGACGCAATTCATTCTTCTTCACATTCGAAACATGCACCATATTTTATCAAAAAATATTTTTGAGTTTTCACATTCTTAATAATTTTAATAGCTAAGCCTTAAGATCCTGTTAAAACAAATCGCTCGCATTTATTTTTACACCCAAGAGACAATTAAATAACAAATATAAAACTGCGATAATGCATCATTTTATCAAAAAATATCTTTGAGTTTTCGCATTCTTAATAATTTTAATAGCTAAGCCTTAAGGTCCTGTCAAAACAAATCGCTCGCATTTATTTTTACACCCCAGAGACAATGAAATAATAAATATAAAACCGCGAGAATTAATAATAAATTCGAATAAGCATAGTAATCTGCGATGCTTTTTCACTTTCGATAACGCTGGGCGTACTTCCAGGACACCGTGTGTATCGCGCATTAAAACGTAGCGATGAAGTATCTGGGACGTGCTACTTACCAGTCAGAGTATCGTCTTTCCTCTCCGCCATATGACGCTGATCCGCCGCGACGCCGTTCCGCGGCTTCTCGGCGTCGCCGAACAGCCGCGTGATCCTGGTGTAGACGAGATCGTGCGGGCTGTGAAGGTAGAAGGACTCGCCCGTGTCCTTGGGCTTGGGCGGCTCGCCGATATACGCGCTCATCGGGTTTATGTAAATGCCATCCCGCGGCCGGGAACCCGGCGGATGCAGGAAGAACGGCTCTTGGAACATTCCGCAACCGCGCAGCGAGCACTGCAACACGTTTTTTAAATTCAAAATTTACTCTCAAGGTGTTCTTTCATACGCAGCATGCTGCAGCAGCAAATCAGTCACGTGATCAAAATTTATTGGAGCATATTTCTGTGTTCTCTATTATTTCAAAGTTAAAATTATGATTTTTTATTCTCATAATAATCTATTTTATTAAAATCCATTATTTAACTAATAGAATAATAATAATGATTAGAATCAATTAGTTGCGTGTTTTTCTGCTTTGCTGCCTTTTGCTGTTCGTTCAATTGAACTTTATGAATAGCAACAAACTACTGGGGCAGCATGCAGCACGTGAAATGGTACCTTTACGGGTTAATTTTGGGGTGGATTAATTATACGGCTGAGTGTATATATTTTATATAATAATAAATAAGAGAATTCTAAATTTTAATAGACAGTCGTCAAACAAATTCTTAACATCTCGATAAGAGAAAATTGATAGGAGAAATTTCTTATTACGGAAATATCCGATGTGATATCTATATAATGACTTAATTTCAAAGGCGAGATGAATTAAAAAATTCTGAATTTTTTGCTTGATAATAATTGTTAATTATATAATTATTTGGTGAATAAAATATCTATGCTTGCCTTTTCGATGGAACTCGCGACGCAGCTGCACGTGGTGGTGTCGCTCATGTGACCAGAATGGTCCGACCCAGCACGATCCCTGGCCATCTTCGGGGTGACATTAGGGGGAGGAGGTTTGCCGGTTTCCTGCTGCATGTCGGGAGAGAGAGACAAAAAAAAACGATTAGAATTATTAGCCATTAGTGTTTAGCAGCGGCAGATTTATTAAAGATGAAAATAATCTTTATGAAACTTATCGCGGAAGCAATCGGTTCTTCCTTATTATACGACTAACAGCTATATCTGAACTATCTATTTTCTCTTTTTTTATATTCTCAGTAGATGTACTTCAATATATTTTAATTCAGAAAGAGAGATAGCATTTATCGAATTCGCGATAATATTTGTTGCTTAACGATTATCTATGGTTGCGCAAAAGTCTGTGACTGACCTCGTTCGCGTATTTGTCAGAAGAGTTTACTCTGTCAGAGAAGAAGAAAAACTTGGATGATTCGGCGAACGTCGCGGAAACATCGTTATTATTACGAGAGGATGCAATTATTTGGAGACCTTGCATATGTAAGCGGTTTGTAATAAGGCGAAAGTAGAAGCATGCAGGATGTGATTAATACTTCTATGCAATTTTTACGCGAGGTCAGGAAAAGGATATTTATATCCTTTTTCACCGAACAATTATGTGAAATAGCTAATAAAATAATCTGAAAGAAATTAATCCTTTATTTGATCATTTTTTATTATTCTTTATATATCTATTTTATTATATTTATTAATTATTTTGCATATTTATTATTAAAATTTTGGTTTTCTATTCTTCTTTATATTTTTTTAATAATGGAAAGTGACTTTTTAATAATCAACTTCTTAAATATTTTTTTACATATTAATTTCTGTGGACTTATCAAGGAACATATGTACCTATCGATTCTCGATTTCACTAAATAAACTCAAATGAACATAAACATTCAACGATATAATTTAATCGAAGCGATACGATGATTAGTAAAGTTGTAAAAGGAAATCGATAATTATAATCGGCAGTTTCGCGTAATATCGATGAAATGCGTTGTTCTACATTGGCTTTAACGCACGGAAAAATAAGCAACGCAGACCGGACTTAATAATAATTTGCGCGAAACAGTAGCGAACGTCGACATCTTTTCTTATCGATCGCTCCGATCGGCAGAAAACGGGAACAAGCTAGATCTGTACGGATCCAGAACACGACGTGTCGCACGCTTTTATGGGATCATGGCGGGAAAATTTTACTCTCGCATGTTTCCAGTCGGAAAGCCGGATTTATAGCGTTTCGCGTTAGACCACTGGCGCGTTAATTAGATTATACGGTAAGCCACCGGGCTCGTAACTCCTTTTTCACGTAATTCCGTGTATGTGGAAATCGTGCACCGCCGTTTCCCAGTCGCTCTCGTTTCATCGAAGTGAAACTGCGTGTCGATATAGTGCGAGATTTTGCACTCGCGCGGTCGATTAAACCGACCAAGTATTTCCGAAGGGTAATCTGTCTATAATATATTGCAAAACATTTTTGTGAGAAGCGAATAAAGTAATAATTTATTATTAACCCAAAATTGAAAATCAAAGTTAACATTAATAAAAGTAATAAATTATTAAATATATATTTAACCATTTAGCACAACTGTTACGTTATTAATTCTTCATTATTTAATTAATATATATTATAGATTTGTAATTTGAATCTATATATATATATATATAGAATTAACACGTATATTGATATTATATTAAGATATAATATATTAATACATTTTTTAAAGATATGTGTTAAATATTAAACAGGACAAAGAGAGATGAATAAATAATTATAGAGCGTATCAATTTAAGCTTATACTCGATCATTTTAAAATCGCAGACGTGTACGTCGTACTTATGTTGTTATGTAAATTTGTATGTTTAACCTATGGCGTAATTAGGTCGCGTGACGAAAGAAGGAAAGGAAAGAAGAGCGCGATCTTTAAGATTCATCTCTATAATATTGCGATAAAAGTGACAAATTTCGCGTCTCTCGACCAACGGGAAAGTGTTGTTAGATAGATATATAAATGTATTCTAATTTCTGAGACAACCGAGAAGAGAAATTCGCAATATGAAATCTCTCAGTCTTTAAATATCTCTCGAAATACGGGTCAACTAACATCTCACAATTATTATTTCACCGATCGCCAAGTATCGTTTTGTAGCAGCAATTCATCTCTTTTCAAGCTCCATCTCTTTTCAAAAGAGATGTATTTATTTTTAAATGCGAATCTTTTTTCTCTTTAGAAAAAAATATGAAGAAAATATTTTTTTTATTCTCCTTTTTTTCCAAAATTAATAAGAGAAAATGCAAGTGTGATTTTACAGTCTGCTGCATTCTTATGGCTTCTTGATCAGAGCGTCGCGTGAAACAAGATAGCGTTTGGCTCTTCACGAAGGTAGATATGAAAAAAGGTATCGTGACGGAGATTGTGACAAACACTCGTGACAGCGAGATGTCACCGATCCGTGATGGGCACTACCCCGGAAAAAAATGTCCGTCCACGCGAATCCTTTCCCCCGTGACGTATATCCCGTTGCGTTACGCGCCAACGATACGCTTTTCGCCCAACCAGGTGAAGGACGATAAAGCGAAAAAAGAAAAAAAAGCAGATATATTCGTTCCTACGTGACATGAAATTAAAGCGAATTAAAGCGAGCAGAATTTAGAATGTGAGTGAAATAAATCTGCGACTTTCTCGAGATTTAAAACCTTAAATTTAAAATTTTTGTTTATTACTGATCTGCCAATTACGATAATGAATTCTTGACATTGACGTATGTTCGCACGCGAAGATCTCGTTTTGATGTCGATCAAATTGCCGCTAACGTACAGTTTTAATCGTCGATTCATTGCTTACCGTAATTATGAATAATATTTGACACGCCTTTCTTGTTTCCGACTAATTATAAATGGCAGATCCTATTTTATATATTTACCGTAATTCATCGATCGAAGTAGGTGAATTCATGTATAGGCAATAACGAATGTTAGAAAGCCACAGCTAGAGCTATCATTATATTTTTATTATCGAATCGATGATTTCAGACACGTGCCAAATCAAATGTATCGATTTCGAGAAAGTAGGCAAAAATCATTTTCTTTGCAATTTTATTTGAAAATGGTATAAGTTTAATTTTTATTAATATTAATAAATGAATTTCTGAAAATAGATTATTCACAAACACTTAAAGTATTTTTAAAAAATATAGAAATAAATTGCAATAGACTAATTAATCGAATTTTTGCTTTTTGAAGATAAATAAAAGGGACAAAAATAATAAAAGAAATGACAATTGATATAAGATAAAAATTATACGAATTAGATTTATTGTTAATGCATTTTTTGAAATTATCTGTTTAAACAGTCGCAAATATTCCTTCGTATTATATCTTTCGCACGTGACGTATGTAGATCTTTTTTATTTCTTTTTAGATATTGCAACATTTTTTATTGTCAAAGATAAGATTTAAGAGCGCATTAATTTCGTTATCGGTCATGAATTGCATCTCATAACGTCTCTCTCTTATCTTCATAGACGTAAACGTTTGACGTTCAAGGCGAAAGATCTCGGTATGAAACTGACCCGCGCAAGGTCGAGCGACTCGCCACGCTACGATTCGTGATATTGCGATATTTCTTTTCACTCACAACAGACGAATGACAATTGGTTGAGCATATAATCGCAAAAGCGTGAATGAAATGTCTACATTATAAAAATATTCTCGATCGAACACAAAAGAAAAAAGTTCGCGAGCGGTCGAACTTTCACCAAAAATCGATTTCAAATTTAACAAACGATTTAAAATTTGGAGAAAGCGCGCGATGCTCGTACATCTTGTAAGTACATAATGAATGTGTATCCTATATCTTGTATCCTACATTCTATATAAGGTATGTCTATATGTTTATCACAACATATTTCGGGTTAAATATGTAACCTGGCTACATCTGTTATTTTAAGTTAAATCAAATTCGCACGTATATTATAATTATATGTATGCTATTTTAAGAAAATTTTTAACTAAACATATGTTAGAACTATCATTAAATTTATGCGAGAGAATTAATATCGAGAATAAAATGATCGAGAAGAATCTAATCTTTACTTATTGATTTTCTGCAACATTTTATGGCATTACACCATTTGTTGCACCTGAGTGTGCATTTTTTATAATACGCATGAACGTGCGTGCTGCTCGTTATGAGTGAAAAGTAGCAGCTATTAGAATTGCACGCAAAACCGGATCGTACGATAGAAACCGCAGTTCTCCGTTACAACGAGCCGATTTTACAACTTTCAAGTCATCGTCGAGAGATTTGACGTTAGCATTAAAATTGATCTTCATGTTAATTCTGCCAATTACATTTAAAAAATTTATGAATAATTATGAACTCTTTAAAAAAAATAATTATCATTTATTAAATTATATTAATTGAATTCTTCTATTCCAAATCTTATAAATATGTATATTTAGTCTAAAATATTATATATTTTCTCAAAAAAAATATAATATATTCAGAAATTGCGGCTTTATTAGCAAAATATTTCCGTGTATTTTCTACATAAAAATTTTAATCAATTTTTTTAATATTAATATAAAATGTAACACGATATTTCGAAGTCCACAAATATTGGACCACGAGGAGAATTTATTATGCTAAACGTTGCGTCTCATGAACACGAGAGAAGGGAATAATGCTTACGACATTACGGTACTTATGGATTACGGTTCACTTACGTATACACCCATGCAAAACCGGATTTCACCGCTGCTGCGTATATAATGCCGGAAACCAAAAGTCTCAGGTCACCCGCTCGTTGCTCGAGGAAGTTTACTCCAGGAGAACAAGAAGAAGAAGATTTCGCTCGATCTTTTCGTACATTTATCAGAACGCACGCTCCGCTGTCCTAGTTCGGACCAGACCGAGACTCGCCGAGGCTCGCGCCGTCAAGGCCGTTCATCCGCGAATCCCCAGAACGATCGGAGAGACAACGGTACTTCCGCTTCGTGTCGATCTTTCAAATTGCCGATCTTCCTCGCGGATGAATCCTCTAGATCCAGATTCTCTCCAAAATAGCCTTCGAAAATTTTCGAGCTATTCAAACCACTTTTGATCTCCTCCTTGAATTTTTCAACCAAATTTTCAGATCTGTCAACAGATTCGGATTCCAAAAACTGGATCTTTTTTTACACGTGTGTTGATTTTTTATCTCTTCCGAAGAATATCTCAAACTTTTTGTTCAATCTTTCCAATCACTTCTAAACACACTAGTCAAACTCGAAAAATATTCTCTTGGAATCTCCTGGATCTTGCGCAGTTGGTTTAAGAGCTATCTTCTATTCCATCCAAAATCTTCTACTTTGATAAAAAAAATTCTTAGAATATCCTCCAGCTTATAAAATTGCTGTGCAGAGGAATCGTCGAAAATCCTGGAAATTTTCCACACACAGTGCTATTTTTCATCGACTCTCGTCCGCTCGGCGAACACGTCCGGCCAACGCGAGCAGTCGTGCGACTGTGACTCGAAGCTAACACCGGAGTCACGCGCGAGTTAGCACCTGCCGGCTGGCTGGGCCGGGTGACGCGGGTCGATTTCTCGAACTGCGAGTGCACCAGGTTTTCTCCTTTTCGATTGTCGAGGCGGGCTCGAAATCGATAGCGCTGGCCCTCGCGGACGCTCGATTTTTCTCGCTCCGATTTCCAAAAAAATTCGCGATCAATTTTCAAAGAACCGCGAGTGCGATCGGGAAAACGAGTGCGCGCGGGTGACGGTCGGCCAACGAACTCGCGCGAGCGTACGATTCTCTCTCTCGCAGGAGGAGGCCGGTGCGAGCGCAGGAAGCGGCGGACCGGGACTCTCTCGTCGCTGTCGAGCAGATCGCCGAGAGCCCACCTGTTTCTCGTACGAGGAGATGCCGAGGTAGGGATGCGGGTCTCTCTGTCCATCGGAGAGACTTTTCTCGGATCTCTCGTCCTTTTGCCTTTCCTCATCGCGCTGCCCTACTCCCGACGCTGTCAGATCCTGCGATCTTATTCCGCTACGCTCCAGTTTACCACTGATTTTTGGAAGAATGTCGGCTAATGGAAAGTCTTTACTGACAGAGATCTTTAAATTTTTTAATTGCCTTTATACACGATAAATATAAAAAAAAAAGAAATTGTTTAAAATTGGTAAAAATATGTAGACATTTTAATTACTTATTAAGAGATTTCGTGGCTCTTTCTGAATATTGATGTTGGAATATTGTAGATGGAAATTGTAAAAATTCAAGAGTACCTATATAATAAAACTAAATGAATTAGATGAATTCTTTACATAATTTTTGCATTGATTGAAAGGAAAATAAACAGAAAGATTCAATTTATCATCTCTTCACACTTTCACTCTTTTCATGCATACGAAATATCTTGTCAAAACATAGCACAGTTATCAGCATAAGTTAGCATCAGTATTCTTATTTTTTACTGGTTTAGCGAGAAGGCGACGAACATCCTCTTGAAAAGTAAACGCGACTTAGAAAGCGTGCACAGGAATCGAGTTCTTTTTCTTTAAACATGCATCTGCATTCGCCGTTAATTCTCTCTCGCGAGATATGCAAAAGGAAGTCTCCTCTCGAGCAAGGAGATGAACAAGAGAGAAGTCGTCGTCACCACGAGGTGGCACCGCTCTTTCCTCTTTTAGCGGCATCTTATGTCTTCCCTACCACATGCTCGAATTTCTCACCTCCTCCTCTCTCACCTGATCTCACTATAACTGTAAAGAATAATCTTGCGTTGCGTCTCTTCTCGCAGGTGCCGCTACGAGTCTCAGTGCGGATCTCGTCAGTTTTTCTAATAAATGTTTATGAATAGAAACTCATAATTCATAGGATTATCGCACAGTTTCCTTGCGAATATTAGTAATTTATAAGATTGAGCAATTCTAAATTTTACATGAAGAAAGCTGATCTTTTCAGCATGGACCGCTTCTTTTTTTCCATTCATTTTATGATTGCGATAATAGTTACTTTAGTATTGTTTCCTTCTTGTGACTAATTAATTAAACGAGGCTAGTCTTACAATTAGTATAAAAAAGAAATTTGACAGTCATTGCATTATAATTTATATAAAATATATATTAATGCATAAAAATTAATATATAAAAATATACTAAAGACAATTTAGATTTTTTTTCAATGCGTTTAGCAATTATAAGAAATTGATTTACTAACAATTGTAACACATTTTTTAATTACAAAGTTATTGTTAATTAAAATTTTAAATTTGTTACAGTGATTGCGTAATTTTGTTATTGAAATGACGAAATGTCATGTGTGATTATTGATTTAATGAAATTAAAGAATAAAACTCACAATCGCTAAAGACGTTTGTTTAATTATCTATAAGGTTGAATTTTTATACTTAAGCTTTTAAGCAACTTGGCAGTTTTTGCAATCAGAAATTAGTTTAGCACAGTTTCCGATTCAACGCTTCAAAAATTTGGGTCTTTCCAATATGTACAATCAATGTTTTATAAATTCTGCACTATCACTTTATCGGTTTAAAACTCAGTTAGATATTATGTAATGTGTAAAGTGCATTAAAGTTTCTTGTCATTTTCCCAGTACAACTAAAATTCATTTTTACAACATAGAGTAACACTTGATAGTCAAATTGATTCATATAAATATATATATGGATATAAATAGATATTTATTTCAGAAGAACCGCGACTAGTAATTTTGTGATAAATACGAACATAAGTTGCAATAAATTTAATTTTTATAAAAAATTCAAAAATTTGTTTTCTGAAATATATATATTAAACGCTTATTTATTATCATAAATATATTAAAATAGACGATTCCTGATGTGGTGACGTAGGAAACTATCCCACTGCCACAATGTTGCACTTTCGCGAATTACTCTATTTGTCCTGTCATGATTATCGTGTCGTGAGATTGTCACGCTCTGTCGCCTCTGTCGATTTATTCTCGATGTAACCGCGGCTCATAAAGCTGTCTGCAGCTGCAAATGCTGTAATTATTATAAATTCCTCTTTTTCTACGTGACCGTCGTGCACGAAAACAACACGTGATCGTATGCAAATTTGCTATGCGCATCTTAATTAAATCCGTAGCAGTCACTCGCTTATATCGTGACCGATATTTAAAAAACGTTTTGTTGGTACGATCCTGTTCATGTGTGTGTTGGAAAAACTAAAAACTTTTGCAAGTGAACGTGATTGGCTTGTCATTATGTGTCATCAGTAAATAACTGATCCTTCTCGCGGTGAAAGTTTGAAAATATAGAGCACAATTATAGCAAATGCCTTGTTTATGGCGAGCGTTATTTTCTGCATTGCAATCGTTGCTACTCGAATTAGCTTAAATCTCAAACTAATACGAATGTTTGTGTCGATTAATTATTAAGTAATGCAAATATAATTTTACATAAAATGGTAGAAAATTATTTGATTATCGCGCATAAATATAATTTATTTTATAATGTAATGCGTATAAAATGTAATACAATATTTATAAAAAAACAAATATTATTTATATATAATAATAATTACTATAACATATCATTACCTCTTTTTCTAAACAGTTTGAAAAATTTATAAGATTGTCAATACCATCATTTATCATCAGAATTCTGAAATTAAAACGATCTCTTTCGCCGTCGTTTCTTAGACTTTATCTGAATTACAGTAAAATAAACGTCTTTGTTGCAATCATGATTGATGGAAACTCGCGTGTAATTACGTTAAAGATGCGAGGAGGCGTACTCGTTCGGCGTGACGTGAAACTTTCTCGCGGTCAATAAACTTTTCGCGAAAACCGATAAGTAATTATCAAGATGAAAATAATTAGATAAATTAATAAAATTTTCTCATCACGTTTCTATGGAAGCATGCGCAATGTTGCGGATTTAAATACTTCCGGGATTACAAGATGATTAATCAAATTCGATAAAACAAAATGAATTCCTGTTACTGTAGCGTTGTTATTTTTATCAGGATGAAGATATGATTATTTCTGAGATACTTATTAATTCCTGCATTATAATCTATAATCTATTTATATCTATATATATGAATTTGTGATAAGTCATGTGTCATATTATGGTAAAAGAAGCAATTCGGAGTGACTGTAAATATATATTTTTCAATACTCTATATGTAATACAAATTATTTCTTATTTTTAAAATATTTATATATTTAATTGATGTAACTCGTTGTATTATATTACATTAATTATGAATTATAAATTGTATAGAAAAATATTTGTTTGCTGTCTTAAAGTAATTCTGAGTAATTAATAATTTGAAAAAAATGTTGTGGCAAATAACTCATGCAATACAATTATTGATAAAGGAATATGATATGATAACTAAAGTGCAAGCATGCGCACTCTGATGCGATATTAATCATAGTAAACAAGACGAGTTTGTAAATTTTAAAATGACGTTAAGCAATCAACATGGGAGTGTGATACTTTTCCAAGTCGTACACGCCTATTTTGCTCGTAAATCTTCTTAGAAGATATGAGAATATTTCAATAAACACGATGCTAATTAGGCATTTGATCAATATGCAATATACATAGTTAGAACATTTTTATGCCGTTAGTGCTATCTTAAAACTGTGAAAACCGTTGAATTTTGTTTAAATAAATTCTGATTTAAATAGATTCAATTTTGAGTGTTATAACGAAATAAGATTTAAAGATTTATATATTTGTCACGATTTTATGGAGAATATCTGTCGATGTTAGAGACTAATTTGAATACAGGTTAATAAAAAAATTACACGACGATTGGTAAATCGATTTAATTGGTGATCCGCGGTTGCGAGAGGCTCGTCTAGGCTCGACCATAAATTCTGTAGCATGATGTGGAATTTCTGGCTCTTTGACTGGTTATCAGAGGCAGCCGAGCCTGTTAAAACGTAGTCGTGCCTACGTGAATAGTTGCGCCTGATTGGTCCACAAGTAGATAAACATGTTTTTTCCATAGCATTGATCTCATCGTCATTGCGTCGCTTAAGGACAACTGCGTTTATATAAAACGGAGGAGTGTCGTGGAAACCTCCGTATTTCGCGCTAACGAAAGAGGCGCCGTTGCCCCCCCGAGAAAAGAATTTTGCTGCTGGCGATCATGAAGGACGAGCTAAAGGTAGCGAAGCTGTTGATTTCGATATCGATCCTGCAATTGTTTCGAAAAAATTCAATTTGTGATTTTTATCCTTGTCGTGCTAAAGTTATTATTTTTCTTTAATAAAAAGAATAATTTGGAAATAGTCTATAAAAATTTTTCGTATAATATGATATTTAACAAATTTAAAATAGCATTATTTTATTTTAAATAGAAATGCGAAAATTACTCATACAATTACTAGAACACAATTTTGATGTAGAAAAATTTGCGAAAATTTTGAAAAAGAAAGCTTGATACAGTTGAGAAAATATTTTTCAATCAAAAGTGATACTGCATCTTTTAGTATCTTACGGGTTTCGGCTGCGAGTTTTCCAGCGAGGACGCGCGCTGTCCAGGGGCACTGCCCATTGGACAGAATAATCCGCAGAAGTGTCCATACAATCTTTATGCTGAACAATTATCGGGAACAGCATTCACTGGTGAGTAAAATCGCGCGTTTTGTTTGTGTAATTCTCTCGACATTTTTGGAGCAACGTGTCTTTTTTAAAGAATATTTCATACTTTGATTATATACTTCGAATTCAATATCCTCCATATGTTTTTATCTTATCATATGACTGTCATAAAGTCTGAAATTAAAATTTAGAAAATTAGTGTGTCTTAAATTCAAAATTTAACTGAGATAAAAAAATTGTCGTTTTTATTTTAAATGGTGAAATAAATGGAAAATTTTGTCTCGGTTTGAGAAAGATAAATTTAGCTTGGTATGATTAGAGCTCTATCATAATTCTTTAATTTGCGTGCCACTCTTATCAGACTGATAAGTTAAAACTGTAACACTATTTTACAGCAATGTAATTTTGAATTAGTTGTTTAAATAATTTTTCACTCGTCGCTAATATAATATTATGTTATGCACGTTTATTATGTATTATTTTTTGGAAGCGCTATTATTTTTATTTCTTAGTTCCACGAAATCAAAATAAAAGATCGTGGCTCTATCGGATAAAACCGTCTGTCGTTCATAAACCGTTCAAGCCCTTTACTCGAGCATGTGGTATTGAATCTTACATAATGGACGATTGGAACAAGACATATCCCAATCCCAATCAGGTAAATTTCCATGACATCGAATTCAAGGATTTATTGTAATGACTTAACTATTTAAATAATTGAATTCTAAATCAAATATTTTTAACTTTGAGATTGAATTTTTTTATATATGAAAGAAATAAAGTAGATGTGTCTGTTACTATTTGAAATCTTCGATTTAAGCATTGAAATTTAAAAGATCAGTTTTTTTGAAGCTAATCGCTCGGGTTTCAGCTAAGATGGAAGCCTTTCGATGTCCCGAATCGACGAGATCCTGAAGTCGATTTTTTCGAGGGTCTTCACACTTTGTGCGGTGCGGGCGATCCTAAAATGCGTCAGGGCATCGCGATACATGTGTATTTGTGCAATGCTTCTATGAAAGACAGAGCTTTCTATAACGCCGATGGTGATTTTCTCATCGGTAGGCAGGAAGACGATGTTACATATACAATTTTTCTTAAGAGAAAAAAAAACATACATTATTATAAAACGAAATTCTGATTGTGATTGCAGTGCCGCAATTGGGCGCTCTGCAAATCACCACCGAGTTCGGTAAGATGCGATGCGAGCCGAATGAGATATGCGTCATTCAGCAGGGAATGCGATTCTCCGTGACCGTTTTCGGTCCATCCAGAGGTTACATTCTCGAGGTCTTCGACAATCACTTTCAGCTGCCGGAATTAGGACCGATAGGTAATCATCTGTTCGCACGATCGCGCGTAGAAGTTTCGGTCTATATTTTTTTTAAATCCTTTGAAAAAATTAATCCGCATTTATGATTCTCGAAATATCAGACCGCTGAAGAATTTGTATTTTATTTTCGAGATGAAAAATCCGTGAAAAATAATATGACACTCGATTTCTTCTCTCTATCTCATTGTTGAAGAATTAATAAGATGTAATTTAATTCGACCAAAAACTGGCTATTCATTTATTGAAAATAAGTACACACTACGTTTCGACCCACATTGTCGTCCTTTTCAAGTGTTGTTCTTATTCAGCAATTACATTAATTACAGTAGCTAACAGATTGTCGATATGACAGGACAACTTTCATGTTTCTATTTTTAATTAATGTAATTGCTGAATAAGAACAACACTTGAAAAGGACCACAATGTGGGTCGAAACGTAATGTGTACTTATTTGCAATAAATGAATAGCCAGTTTTTGGTCGAATTAAATTGCATCTTATTATTTGTGAAAATTTTATCACTGGCGATCAACAATTAATTGTGAAGATTTTGAAGAATTAAATTTCTTTGATTGAAAACTCGAAATAAATGAATGTTTCTTTAATGAGTGAGCTAATTAGCGGGGTTAACGTGTAGGTGCGAATGGCCTGGCGAGTCCAAGAGACTTTCAGACACCGGTGGCTTGGTACGAGGATCGCGAGATCGATTACGAGATCGTATGCAAATATCAGGGAAAGCTGTTTACGGCTGATCAAGATCACAGTCCCTTCGACGTTGTTGCGTGGCATGGCAATTACGTACCTTACAAATATGATCTCGATAGATTTATGGTCATCAACTCGGTCTCCTTTGATCACTGCGTGAGTAGATCTCTTCATGGATATTCAAGAAAGTTCTGAGATCTAAAAAGAAATTTCTACATGTGTAAAGATTCTCATATATTTGTTAGTTATACATTTCTATGTATACAATGCAGGAAGAGTACCAGTAATTGGATATTATCTTCGCCGATGCGTTAAATTTCTTATTTCTATTTTTCTTTCATTCTTTTAAAATATAAAATTCCAATTTTTGCGTTTAATCTTTATAATATAAATATGCATAGCAAATAAGCCTTTTAAATGTCCTTCAAATTCGACACACTCTCGGAATGAATAATTTAATCAATTCCACAGGATCCGTCCATCTTCACTGTGCTGACGTGTCCTACTAACAAGCCTGGAACCGCTGCTGCTGACTTCGTGATCTTTCCACCCCGATGGTCTGTGCAGGAGCACACTTTCCGACCTCCTTACTATCATCGTAAGTAGAAATTATATTCCTTATAAATATTCCTTTTGCGTTTCATACACGTGCCGACGAAATAAGAACGAGGCTTGGCATATGCGTATTATAATATCTTTTTATACAAATTATTATATAAAAGAAATCATGCCTGACAAGATTATTAAAATATTATTTGTGTCACAATTTCTAATATCGCGCATTTAAACTTTCATTTAAACAAAAAGTATAAATTTGAAAAAGTAGTGGCGAAAGTAGTTAAACAAATATATATAATATAAAATATAGAAGACATCAAGAAATGTCTTAAACCTACTCGTCGTTTTTAAATTCCTTTTTTAATCACATTCTTTGAATTTTGATGTTATTTGATAATTATTTTTAATTTATACTATATATATATATATATATATATATATATATATATTTAAACTATGAATTCATCAGTCTGTAACATGTTTGATATACTGAATACGGTATATGAAAATTGCGAGATTTTCTGTTCCGATTTCTCGGGGTCGAATACATACGGGAAGAGTTCAAGCGAGTATTTCGCCGAACTCGACTCGGAGCGTCTTCGTTCCGGAAGAGCGCTCCTGAAAATTGTGCAACCGAGTTAGCACAGAGAAAACTCGAAATTTTTCCCGGCGACCGATCGTACAATATCTTTTTCTTCGATGTGTCGTTTCACCGATTTTCTATCACGATCCGATCGATTACAAGACGGAACGGACCACTTTCGTTTGATGTCGCAGTCGTCCTTGTCGTCATGATTGTTGTTGTATCTTGCTGTATTATTGCGCTCTTATTGAGAAAGTTGCGTGCAAAGAGAAAGACACATAGGCATAATGCTTATTGATGAGAACGCATCCTTACGGATTGAGTAATTGAAAACTACAAGAAGCGTCTCATTATCAGAGTCTCGAGAGCGTTCGTTCCGCTGCATAGAAATTACACGTAAAATTATAGGATTGAAATTGGAATAACTATCATCATCAACTAAACGCGTTATGGTATTTTCCGATCGTAAAATTAATATTGATTATTATCAAGGATATTATTACTACCCTTGGACAACGAATTTTTTGCTTGCTATGGAGAAAGCAATTATTATTTTTGTCGTCTGAATATTAAAAGTATAAATGTATACTTATATAAAGTAGAAATATTTATATATATTTATTTAATAAATAATTATCTTAAAAAATTATTATGAAAAGATGATTGGGCAAATTACATCTTTGTGAAATAGTAATATTTTTTCAATTAATTATTTGTCATTATATATACATTCTATCAAAAAGATTTCATAAATACATTATTTTAAGAAAAAAAAAGAAAGAAGTTATTTTAAGAGCAAGTAAAAGAATAAAAATATCAATAAGAAAAAAATTGGTGTAGAAATTATTTAGTAACATAAAATTAATCACATAATCAAATCGAAAACCAATTATCCGTTAAAATAATTTTGTGAAATATTTCGATGACATTTGAATAATATTAATTTCCTTGCTTCTCTGAAATAACTTAATTTTTTTCCTGAAATAGTGAAATTTATGAAATATTTTCTATGAAATGTCTACACATCACATTGAAATATATCAATGCGATTTTTTTACTTTGCAAATACGAAACTATGCAATATGAAACGTATATATAATACGCATCTCAAAATACTGGCGAGCGTCAGTAAGAGTAGCCGCTCGCTGCTTTCTCCGAGATTTGATAACCAGTATAGCAGTGTGTTTTCAATGCGGGCCATTCCCCACGTTAATGAATAAGTCGGCAGCGCGTGGAGAGCGATAATATGCAAAATGCGCGGAATTTCCATTGCAAATCCTACCGGTGCGTTTCGTTGCGCGATCGCGAATGACGCGCTATATATGCGCTCGTTTCGTATGTCGGTTTTTTTCAGTGATACCAGTCAATGATGAAAATCAACGGAGGAGGGCTCGATTCATTATTTAAATGATTTATTCGACATCTGTCAACAGACATGTCGGATTTCGCGAGAATTTCTGTCAAATATCAGATATTAAAGAAAATTAAATCATTATGTTTAACGAGGGAAAATGTTATTAGTGACCAAGAGTTTGGATTGGATTCCGCTATATTTCTCGAATTAATTTACATATGGTTAATTGATTCGATAGACGCTTTTTTCAAACCTTATTAGTTAAAATAATTCACATTTAAAATAGATAATGTATGTATTTGCTTTTTACTATACTTTGTTTTTTCCTTAGTCTATAGCTTTATAATAATTTATGTTAATACATGCTATGTTTACTGCTTACATTATCAAACGGTAGTGTCACTTATGTATATATCAGCACTGTAATTGAACAGAGTAGTTTATTTGCTATAATATTGTGTTTTTCTTCAACAAACTATTATCACTCTATTTATATACACATGATGAAACTTTTAAAACTACCAAAATTGTATTATTATTTTATCGGATTCTTCCACAAGTTAATTAATCTGAATACTTGTATAGATAAATAATAATATTAAGAAAAATACACTGTCTTGACAAAACCTTGCTGTTTTTTAATTCTTAGGAAATTGCATGAGCGAATTTATGGGGCTGATAAAGGGTCGTTACGAAGCGAAGGAGGATGGTTTCTCCGCCGGTGGTGCGTCCTTACACTCTATCATGACTCCGCATGGTCCTGATGAACAGTGCTTCGAGGCCGCGACCAAAAACGAGCTGGTACCGGAGAAGATTGCCGACGGTACGCAGGCGTTTATGTTCGAGACCTCGTATAGCATGGCCGTGACGGAATGGGCCAGTAAGCTCTGCAACAAGCTAGATGACAGCTACTACGAATGCTGGCAGGGTCTACGGAAGCACTTTGAGCCCGTCGCCAATTAAGTCGGTCAGAATCACTTAAATGCGGCGATCAGTGCGTCAACAACATGTTTATGTTAAGACCATAATTTTTAAATAACCTGTGTTTACGCTCTTTATTTGATTTTATGATTTATTTTGATGAGAAAGAAAGCCTTTCTCTCTTCAACAGAGCGTATTTTCCCTTTCACTAATGACTGCATCATCTCAAGAGCTTTTTAAATATCTTTTACACAGTTCTATCTATTTTGTTGAGTCCCGTTATAATCTTTCTCTCCTCTAAGAAATTTTTTTTTCATAGCGTGTTGTGTCCAAAAGATATCGTGCAAATCTACGAAGTTATCTAGTGCGTGCAGTTGCAAATTGATAATGAATTCGCTACATCGACAATATATCGTGTCCGCACGAAGAGTGCAAAGAACTTTTAATTATTTACCTCCTACCAAGACGTTGGCATTCATGATCAATGCGATTTGACGAAAGTATGTTAAAGATGCAGCGTACATATACGGTGTCCCGAAACTTTTTAATTGACAAAGCGTTTTGGAGCAAACGCAAATTTATTGAGAATTCTAAGCATATTTCTAATTACGAAAAAATCAGCGTAACTATACTTTAAATGGAGAGTGCTTAAAGTTAAAAAGAAAAGCGCATTTTGAAAAAAAAAACATAATTTTGATTAAAATAATTCCAGGTATTAATGTCGAAGATAAGATAACAGCAGAATTTTGAAATATGATTAATCTAAAATTCATTGGAAAACTGACAATGAAACATTTTTTGTAACAGTTTAAAAATAGTATTGCAACATAAAATAAGATTGCAACATATGTTATAATTATAAATAATTCTTATTTCTAGTGATACAGTTTACAATAAATTGTATCTTATCTAAAATCTGACGTTTATGAAGTCAACCAATTGTAACAAAAAAACATAAATTATATTGTTTTTATGTCTCCAGACATGTAATAAAAAATTTAAATGATTTTTCTTCTCAACATGTAATAATTTTGTTATTTAAATGATCCTTCTACTTAACATGTATCAAGCGTTTTTTAACATGTATCGTATTTTTAATATGTATCTTATTTTCTACAAAAATTACAAAATAAGAGTTAGTTATAAAATTAAAAATAATGCTTTTTTATTCTTTTTAATTTTAAATAATATCTTATATTTAATTTCTTGTAGTTTTAAAATGATCAATACTGTTTTAATGCAATACCTTTATCTTTTATCTTATCAAAATCTCGGAAAATTTATCTTCTTTCTGTCATCGATCAAACTTTCACATTTGTACTTAACAGTTAATACGTGTTACAACAAATACGTGTTACAGTTGCATTATAATTGAAAAATATAACAGTGAGAAAAAAATCTAATGACATACAGTTTTTCTCTCTTGTTTTTTTTTGTAATTTACCTAGTACATGTAATAATTTTTTCTTCACTGTCTGATTATTTTAAATGCCTTGAATCGTTAGTGATTCACCTTGTAGAGATCGTCTTTGTCGACTCCAGACTATATAAGCAGTACCTGCTATTCCCAGCAGAGTTTTCTCTCATCAATACGCAGTTTGACCTCACGTCTGATAGAAAGTTGATTCCGTAGTGTACAGGATATATTAGAATATTTTGCGTTGTTTATAAAGCCCAGGCGGAGCATGTAAATCGGAGCATGAGATGACATTGATGTCGTAAAAATCGGAGTTTTTGACAAACTTCAAAGCAGTTGTCATGTTGAGATCGATGACACGTGCTGTGTCGACCAAATGTAGTGTATTGTCAAATAATGGGTAACCTAAAAATGCACGTAACAATCCGTAACTTTTTCTTCGTGATTGCCCTGTGTTTTTTGACTGAACGCGCTTCGGCCTCGTATTGTTATCCGCACTATTGTCAAAATGTGGTGAGTATTATATCTTCTTCTAATCACAAGCACAGCGCACATTTAAAGCGCACTCATACACACACACAATACATGTATAGATTTTAAATCACCAGCAGTGTCACATGGCATACATACAGAGTATTTCAGGGAATTGCGCGCTTTTTTTTACATATCTATTTGTCTATGAAATATTCATCCAGAAGTGAAAATTAGACGTAAATACAATTTTTTCATCATTTTATAACTTAACATTATTTTTTAATGTAACTTCTAATGCTGTTAAGGTATTATCCTTGAAAAAATATGTAAATTATACAGATGATTAGCTTACGTCTGGGTATTTATATAGATACGATTAATACTGAATTAAATTGTTTATGGTATAGGCATTTATGTGATTGCACAAAGATAATAACGAACACTATTTTTGCATTATATAAGCAACTGATAATTAGATTAAAAAATAAAAGTTTATCTCTTTGACTCTTATTCAATCAGTATAATCTTTTTCTACCTTGAATTGATTAATTATCAACATTATATATATATATATATATATATATATATATATATATGTATACAGACAAATACTTTATATCTACATAGGATATATAGGTTTCCAGTTTAATTAAAATCACTCTGTTCCTTTATTTTTCACCCATTTAGATTTATTTAAATTTAAAAGAAAGTATCTTTGCGAGCGATAGCGAGTGTATTTGTCGACCACACAATCGACCTCTAAACTCGCAAATTACTCTTTTTTTCTGCCATTGTCCGTTTTTAAGAGACGATCTTTTGCTACTTTTAAAATATATAATTAGTCGACAAAAAGAAGATGCTCTCTCAGAAAGCACACAATAATAATAAATAACAATAATAAACCTAACCGAAAAGAAATATAACTAAGCGTCACATTATTTCTTTATGTTTTTATTATTTCACGATAAAATTAATGAAGTCGCCAGTGAAGAGTAAACCATACAAATTTATTGAAATTTCGACCTAACTGGCCAGTATAATTTAATTAGAAACACCTTTGTTTCTAATTAAATTATACTGGCCAGTTAGGTCGAAATTTCAATAAATTTGTATGATTTTTATTATTTCTTTATATTTTTCTTTATAATAATTTTTTAGACTAACCTGGACTTGAAACCAATACCAGGTTTCCGATGTGTATTGACGAAGGTACAAAGGGGCGAAGGTAGGAAATGATAAATTAAAACGAAAATTTTTTCAATGAATTAAATTCAATCACTATTGCGAGATTATTTTTTAGGTTGTGCAAAGTTAAAATTTGACGAATTCGATAAGAAATCATCTAAACAAGATAATGTCGGAAACTTCGTATTACATGCGTTTGTCCATACTTTCCAGAAGGACAACCATAAAGCGACCTCATTTAATTTGTCGATCTCAGATATCAATTTCCATAGTAAGGAGATGCCGCAATTAAACTCTATTAAATTAATAATATTAAAATATTTAATTAAATATTTTTCGTGCTGCGTTGCGCATTAAAAATTTATTTGTAAAATAGGATTAATTACGCGTTATCAAAATATCGCCGACGAGAATGAGCATGCGTGTAGATACATACAATTGTACGGAAATGCCACTCATCCCGAAATACCCAAAGACTTGTTCGTGTCGTGTCCATTTTCCTCTGGTTCACACGAGGGATCTCCGTATCGTTTGGAGTATGCCGCCATTCAGAAAAATCACACATACAGCAAAAAGTACATCTTCTTCGTGCCGGATCACAAATTGATCGGTGGGTCCTCTTTTTCCACAGCTCTTTAACGACATTGTTCATAAATTCCAACTATATCTGTGCGTATCTTTCAGAGGACGACATTAAAGTCGAAATGTTTACACCTTTTACATACATAGACGTGTCGGATTTGTCACAATTAGCGTTGTACATACAACCGCTCCCGAAGAGCTACAACGTAGCGAAATACAAAATATGGTTAATCAATAACGACACGCAATCGGCGCTCAACATCGTGATTTTACCCGCGAACGAAAATAATGAACATTTGCGGTATGACTTCTCTGTACCGGATGATAGCGTATATTACATCAAAGTCGCAGCGTTACATCTAAACTGCGGCGAACATGGATGCGTGAACAGCACGACACCGTTTATAAACACAAGTAAAGATGATTTAACGTGTCATACTTTTTTTTTTCATCTCGCCACTCTAATGACTCTAATGGCTCTTTTAACATTGTTACATTTCGCATTTCTTAGAACATCCATCCCATAAATTGTTGATTATGATAATCAGTTTGATATGGATACCACCTGTTTTGTTATACGCGCTGTATCATGTGTTTAAGCTTTACAGAAAGAGAGGTAAGAATTTATTTTCTTTTACATTTGTAGTAATAAGATATTCTTTTTTTCTTGTTTATTTATTAAATAGAATTGATTTAAAACGGATTTATTAAATAGTTTTAAAGAGAATAGCAATGAGGCCAAATTGCTTGCTGATTTATACCCCGTCACATCCTCTGCACGTGAATGTAATGGCGGAATTGGCAAAATATTTGAAAAGTTGTAACATCAATGCCATGATAGATATGTTTGATATCGCAGAAACTGCCAACAAAGTGAGTAACGAAATAAATCTATATATAATTATATAACTTAGGATAGGTTTATACAATATAATTTAAATTGCTTTCAAAACAAATCATAATTAACTAATAAATTAATTTGTAATGAGAGCTTGATTCAAATAAAATAAATTAATTAATGGAAGAGAAGATAACTTTGTAACATTGCAGGATCCGGGACTCTGGTGCAACACTGCATTTCAAGCTGCCGACATTGTGCTCGTCGTGACATCTCCGTTGGTGTCGTCCGCAAAAACCAACACAACAATTGTTTATCGGAACGTGGATAATCACCTGCTGCGTCTGCTGAAGGAGAATTATCCGCAAAGAAACAAGAGATATTACACGATTCAATTGCCGTATTGCAAGCCAAATCGCATACCAGAGGAGGCGCGACTCTTCAAGAAATTCCATTTACCTAAGGACTTAAAGAGGCTTGTGAAGACGATCCATGGTATCGGTTGCTTGCAATTCATCACGTCGTCGGATAACGAGCTATTGGAAAGCATTAAGTGCGCTATGATGACGGTATCTGAGGATGAAGGCAGTACGGATGAGAGCGGTAAGTCGCGGTCAATAAGCGATTTTATTATTATGAAATGATGATTTTATTATAATTTTATTGTAATTCTTTTTGCTGTCGTCGGTTACTCTCGTTTTTGTGCTTACTCCTTTTTCTCGATTTTTAGATTTTTATATTGCTAAAAATTTTTTTCTATTTTTTTTACTTGTACTTAATAAAATTATCATCATGATGTTATTATGTCGATACTTTTACAATCAGTTTCAATATTTTTTAGACGGTTTATTGTCACCACCGATTGTTATACAAGAAACTGCCAGTATAAAATATCGTAAAATCGATGAATCTGACGAGGTTCATAAGTCCGACATGGTGGATGGTAGTGTTATACCTCATTCTTTTACGACAAATATCGATGAATTGAATTTACTCGGTGAAATTGACGAAAAGAAGATTCCCGAGTTCAATTCTACAAAGAACGACTGTGAATTTCGCATTGATAAGTTGAATTTGTGATTTTTCTTACATTTTATACACATAAGAATAGTGGTAACAGTAACAACTTTGGGAGGAGCAGAGCACTATTTGCCTCTCAATAAAATTATTGGGGTGTAGCACTCCCTCTCTTTTGAACGAGGAAAAATAATGTTTAAGATGAAAAACGCTCATTATGCTTAGGTAGGCCTCATGTTGCGATTTCAGACATACCTTTGATATTTTTCCCAAATTGCCGTCACTGCATAAGAATAGCTCGTAAGATATTCATTTTATATGCCGCGATCAATTTTTTACAATTTGTGACAATGATTGATTCAAATAAAAAATAATTTTCTATGAAAAATTCTATTGTAACTCGTGGAAATTAAAATTTTTTATTTCGTTTTATGAAATTTAAATCATATATTTTTATGTTTTTATACATAATTATATTGCAAAGTAAAAAAATTGATATATGTATTTTTAATAGTAATATTAAAATTTATATCTATACTACACATATATTATCTTTTATAGCCACATAAATATTCTTAAAAGAAATTTTTTTTAAATAATAATAATATAGAAAATAACTTTTTTTTTTCTCTTTTTCTCTTTCTCCTCTCTAATCCTTATTCTTTTTCCTCTTCTTGTTTTATTTTTTACTTTTTCAGATTTTTCTTACTTAAAAAGAAATAATTATTGGGAAAACAAGTGCTGCTGTCAATTAGGTAAGGATGATATAAAGATTAACTCCATCTGGAAGCATCTTTTATACATTTCGTTATATTAATCACAAGAAAATCATATGGCACAATGTTAACCAGTAAGGCGCGTATTCGATATCGTAGTCACTTTTAACGCATCGGACAGTAAATAAAAAAAATCGGTACAAATCGAAATTATGCGCAATCGTCGTCGAATCCGCAAAACGATAAATATAACTATGCTAATTGTGTGGAATGTTGCGTTTTATACATAAATACAAAAAGGACGATTTCTCGTTTACATTGAGGTAACGTCGTTTAACGTCGAAGCACAATCTTCATCTTATGAATACGGTTGGGCGTCAATCGGAGTTCGAATATACATCTCGTAAAAATTCTATTCTTCGATCGTATCACTTCGTCATGCGATCTGTTGCTTTGTGTTGGACACACAAAAGCCATAAAAGCTAGTGCGAGAATAAAAAATTTCGTTTCAAAGGAAGCGTGACGATTAAAAGTTTCAAGTTAGATAATTAAGTTAGCGCCATTAATAGGGTGTCCTGTCGCACAATTTTACAACCATAGATATTATTATTAAGAAAGATGGAAGATCATCTTTAATTTTTTATAACATTAATATCTCGCGCAATTATACCACGAATGAAATTTCTGCTGAAGTGTAGACCATTTAAAATTGAATAACAGTGAATTAATAATAAAAAATGAGAACTGTTAGTAATAGTTGAGAAACAATTCATATTTAGTTTAAGACACCCTGTAGCATTCTTAAATCGCAAAAAAGCTTCATAAGTTCTTAATGAGCAACTATTTTCAAATCTCATCACACTTGCGTAGTGCGATATGCAAAAGATTCTTAAACGCTGAAAATTGGAAAACCTGACGATTTTTTTGACAAATTGCACGAATAATTATAATGCGTAACTATTATTATTAATAATAATAAAAGCTTCATTATCAATGACAATATATGGATAGTCGCGTATGATTTTAAGTACATAAAAATAGATGAAATTAATTATTAATTTATATATGATATAATTACCACTCTCTGCGCGATATAATTTGCTCTTCATTTTTAATAGAGCGTTTCGTTCAGTCGTTTTCGAAATTTCTTCTGCGGCATTTCTGCTCTCGCAATTTCTTCAACTTTGTAAAGTTGATACTCGTTGTTGTAAATGCGACTTCAGCGAATTTTCATTTATTCAGCACATTTTCATACTTATCGTACCCTCATCATCCTTATCCACAATGCATCATCTTCGAAAATAGCGTTTCTCATCCCACGCGAATCACAATTACCTTCCTCCATTCATCGTTCGTACATAATTTTCTCTTCTGCTCCTTCATTAAATAAATATTCTCCTCCTTCGCATGATTCGAAATCGTCAATTATTTCATCCTTCTAGCTATCTTCCCTTATTTTCATTCGTCATATTGTAGTCTCAAATTAATGGAAATTTCGAGACTCATTGAAGACTGGCGTGTTCCCCATTTTATAATTTTCTCATTTGTGTCGTATTTGTTTCAAATATCCAAAACGAGATTATGCCTATCAGTTCGTCACGTTATTATCGCTTTTGTCATCATCTATACTATTAAATACCAAGAGGTCCTCTGTCTCTGACGATTTCTTTCCTTGCATATCGATATAAGATTGAGGACGTTCGTTCGAAGGTATTGTCAGGTCGTTTTCGCTGTTGCTCGCCATACTAATGTTCCGCAGCTTTATCGGGCTCTCGTAATGATTGGCGTTCATGTTTGCTGGTTGATCATTTACGTACGGCGACTTCATGGTTTCCTCGGGAAAAGACGCTACGGACGGATGCCAAAGCGCCTGCAATTTATCTATCTTATCACATTTAGTAACCGCTTCGGAAGGCATTCGACCAAGATAGTTGACAGTATTTGTTTTCAAAATAGTGCCAGTCCCGTTGGCCATCTGATCATTATTGGAACCTAAAAAGAAAAAAAGAAAAATATTATTAATAATTATTAGCAATGATAAAATTATTAGCGAAAATTAAAATGATATTTGTAATTGTCAGAATATATGATTATAAATGACAATTTTTTACAATTAAATTGTTAAACATAATTTATATAAATTAAATATAATTTAAACATGATTAATCTTTATAATAAACAAATTGTTCGTAGTATTTCGTTTGATTAATTTCACTTACCATTCGCGTTATCCAAGGCTTGGAGGGATGCAAAGTACGCCTGATTATGGACGGTTCTCGGATTAAGATCGAGATACTCAACACCATCTTCTAGCATACGCTCCCAATGGCTAGTTAGTTCCTTGAACGATGGTCGCATGCTAGGTTCTTGATGCCAACAGGATACCATTAGCTTATATCTGAAAAAAAATCTCTTACGTCAATCGAACAACGAAGAAATATGTCCCTTTAGAAGTTATAAAAAAGGAAATTAATGTTCCGCCTGGATAAAGAGAATATATTTTTACGACGAACTGTGAGGAAGTTAACCTACTTTATTTTATGTTGGCATTTTTCCAGAAATGTAGCTTTAGCAGCGATAATTGAAAATATATCATGCACGCATCACACTCGAGGACGAATCATCTCTATAAGCGTGCGCGATGATTATCACTTTACTAATTTAATAACACCTCGGTATGCACTGAGGTTGACTCTTTGCAACCTTGATCTAATCTTCATGAAAATGATGAATATTTCACATATGAAATAAAGTCACGCTAATATAATTGTGAACGTTCTTTGAGAATAATTACAAACGAATTCCCTTCAGTTATGAATATAAATGATTGTCGCATGTAGTTCTAGATTTCATTTCATCAACGTGAAATGGCTAAGTTAATTATGTCAAGTTTACTCGGAAAATATTAAATAAGTTTTGTAGCAAAAATTCTACAGTAAACGATTATAGAAATTAGTTTTAGTTAAATATAATATTCAAAGAGAATTAAACTTTTAAAATAATTAAAAACAGTGGTTTTCTCCTTCATTTTATTTTTCTTTTATAAGAATGCTATGACAAATTGAAAAAAAATGACGCGATCGTTATTAAACACTTACAATTGTTGCGAGCAGTTAGGCGGCTTTTCCATACGGTAGCCGGCCTTCAGCAAATTGTAGAGATTATGTACGTCCACTCCGGGATACGGCGAACTTCCTAACGTGACCAACTCCCACAGGAGCACACCGAAGCTCCAAACGTCCGATTTGCTGGTATACACGTGGTCGGCCAGGGATTCCGGCGCCATCCATTTTACGGGAACTGCGAGCACCAATCGTAAAACCTTGGATAATGCGAAGTACGAGTCCGGCGAGTCATTAAAGGTGTTTTTCTCGCGAATCCGCCGAGTGAATTACGAGCGGATTACGCTCGGTCGCGGTTGAATTAGCGTCGTTAGTATCAGGTTAAACTGGTATTACTTGCGGCTTTTGCACTATTGCACTGACTCTTTCCAATGCTGATTTATAACACATTTTTGCATTTTATCTATATGCATTTTTTTAACGAGTTACAAAAATCTATCATTGTATTATTTGTGTATATTATATTGATAAGTTAATTTCATATACATTTGTTATTTTTTTTAGAATAAATATTAATGAAACTATAGTTAAGACATTGCTAGCGTTGCTTCAAAATGCTATTTTAGTGATGAAATGTAAAGGAAAGTTTGCAAATTTTGACAAGTATTAATTAATAAATGATCTTACCTCTTCCTTTGCTCCGTTTCAAGTACGCATCGTCCTCGTATACATCGCGAGTTAGACCGAAATCCGAAATCTTACAGACTTTACCAGTTGCGAGCAATACATTCCTTGCTGCAAGGTCCCGATGCACTAACTGCAATAAAAGAGAAAATTTTGATCAATTGCTAATTACTTGATCAAGTTGAGAAACATTTCGTGACTTCTTTCATTTTCTTTCTATACAGAAATTTCAAACATTATTGACGTTTATATATAATTAATAATTATGTATAATTTCAAGACTTTTAAATATTTTTCGAAATAATAAGTTAAATAATTTGAAATATTAAATATCTTAAAGAGAAATATTTTCTCGTACCTTAATATCGGCGAGATATGCCATTCCTTTGCTTATTTGCCACGCAAACGAGAGAATATCCCGTGGTGTTATAATACAATTCGATGTATTATTTTCGCTGCATTGTGATTCTTCGCCGGTGTTAATCGACGAAAGCAGAAACGTCGAACCACAAATTCTGTTTTCCGACTCTAAGTGCCGACTGCGCCTCAGATAATTCCTGAAATTTTATAAATTTATCCTATAAACCGCAAACAATATCCGGAAAACTTGTCCAATAATCTGTCCATTCCTGAGAGATTGGATTGCAATAGCGGTGAGTCTTGGCACGTGCTGCATCCGCGGAAAAATTTAATTACCGAGTGCAACTGGTTTCCTAAAGGTTATTGTCCCGCAATGGTGGCGAATTCCACGTACGATGAAATTCCGTAACGCGGTAAATTCTCGAAATTATTTCTGCGTTTATAAGTCGGTCACTTCTTCGTTATACATCATTCATTTGGATGTATATATGGGCATTTCTAGACAACGTTGAGATAAACGAAATAAAATTGTGCAATTATCATTTATACAATAATTGCTGAATTGCAACAAATGATAAGTTTTAATATCCATATACTATTTAATTATTCGTGAATTACATATTTCTCTTTCGTAATGTAAGAAAGAATTTTTCTTTTAAATTACAACAGAGAAATATTTTCTGCTAATTTTTTATACTTTAATAATACATATTTAATTAATTTCTTAAATTCCATTAATTAATTTCTCTCTCTATGAAAAATTCTTTAAGACACAAATAATTACATAATTATTACAATTACGAGAGATAAAGCTAAGCCAATTTAATTAATTTCTTAAATTCCATTAATTAATTTTTCTCTCTATAAAAAATTCTTTAAGACACTTACAAATAATTACATAATTATTACAATTACGAGAGATGAAGCTAAGCCAATTTTGGTATGAATCGCGTCGAATCGCTTCCAGTCGATTAGTAGGTCTCTTATCGATAAGACCAGAAGTTCGTGAAACGGAAGGGTCATGCATAATGTCAGAACAATCGGCGAATATATCACGGCGCGTACTTACCGCAAGGAGCCGAATTCGGCGAATTCGATGATGAGGTAGACAGGCGCGCCTGGTGGCGTCGTGCAGGCGCCCAGCAGTCGGATCACGTTCGGATGCTGCGCTTCCTTCAGCAGCTGGTATTCCGACAGCAGATCCGCCAACTCGGAGGCACACGCGTCCTCCTTTAGCGTTTTCACCGCGACGGTCGTGGGGCCGGGCATTCCGCCGATGTTCATGGCTTTGGCGCGCAAAACGCGTCCGAACTCACCCTCGCCCAAGACTTGCTCGATCTTCAGAAGCGATCGGGAAAATTCCCATTTCGGATCCGGCTGAAATTTCACACATTTCCCAAATCGAATATTTCTATAATTCAGTTACATTTTTTTTACATATACAAGTTTATTAATTAACAATTTTGATTTTATTTGATTTAATTTTGTCCCATTAGACAAATTATCAAACATTGATAGCTTAACGTTAACGTGACACGTATAATCTAATGTGCAACTTTCATTTATTTATATTTCGTTACATTCATTGATTATATTGTTTGTCTGTTCTGACTTTTGCATGGCTTTCTACAACACGGTGCACAATTCTAAAGAATCTTGAATAAAGATAGCGGGTGTAAGCATTAATAAATCCTTTCGTGCCAGTTACGATAAAAGCTCTGCTCTCTCTAATCCGACGTTCCGCCTCGCTGAAACATGTTTCCACGTTCGTGTCAAACGATATCTGCGTATTTACTTCGCTTGAGCTGCTCTGCAAAGGACGTGGATATCCAATTAAACGATGTTTCGGTAATGATAATAGGATCACGTGGTTAATAGGAGATACCGCTCCGAATTAGCATAGCTACCACGAATTAATGCGCTACAAGATTTACTGAGAATTTCATTACAAGATCTCGTAATTAAACATTCTTAATCCATATTCATTATTTCACGGGGATTTGATTTTATGTCAATAAACGATGCGTAAATTGCTAAAAGGTCATATTTAACAGAAAATATGACGCAAGGATGGATATTTCTCGTATTCCGCTTCACATCTCTTGCACAAGAAACCGATATCGGAAGATTTTCGCTTGCGTCAATACGATCAAACTTCTTACAGGATATCTTTCGATGTATTTTTGATACATAAATTTTATAAGCCTCTTACGAAACTAGCGTTATTTTTGATATTTTCATATTTCCTCTCGCTGTAAAATGATAATAAAATTTTTTTTACGATTAGTATTGTGCTTATTATATGGTTTTTTTGATATAATTTTTAAATAAGCATAAGATCGTTGAAAAATAGCGCAACTTTATAAGGTAATTTGGACTTTTTCGATTCAATGATTTCGAGAAGGATTTAGTATATTTAGTATATCACGCTTGATGTATGTAAACAAGAAGATAATATAATCAAGTTATAGTGAAAGTAAACAATTAATCAAGACTAAACGCGTAGAACAATTTTATAACAATAAAAATTAATTCTTAATTGAAGTAGATTAATATTGACTCGATCAGATTCTATTAGTAATAAAATAATTCTCCCCTAAAGTTTGATAATGAAATTAATATTACGTATAGAAGCTAGATGGATTTAGGTGTACATCACAAAAGACTTTACGTGCCTCACAAACCCACTGTTCACTGAATCGCTCATGCCATGTTAAAGTCACCTTAGTTCCGACTTCATCGAATAAAAGCGACGACTTTATCTCGTTGGTGTCGCTTCAAGGAGAACGCACATCCCACAAAGAATAGAAATATCGCGAATTCTCTCAACCGACATTTCACTGCTTTTCTATCTTCTTCATCGACATTTTTGTCGCTCTTTCATTCGATTGTAGATGCCTCCGGGCAAAGGAATGCGCTCACACCTCTTTGTTGACTCAAGACATGAGAAAAAAGTTTTCTTTCTTTCCCTCTCTCTTTTTGTAAGAAATATCTCATGAATTCAAAAACTTTAAATATTATTAGCTAAATTAAATTATAAATAATAAATATATATAAAATAAATTTGATATATTAATTTTATTTAAACTATATCTTGTAGTTTATAATTCTTCTTTGTTTAATATTTGTTTTTTTTTTTGCGATTTTTGAAGAAGTTGCAATGAAACTTGCAATATCTTCTGACTTTAAAGAAAAAAAGAAAAATTCTCTTTGAATGAAATTTTTATTAACTAAGTAAGTCTTCACAGAATAAGCAAAAATTAGTATAGTATATAAAGATTTAGATTTTAAGAGGATTTTAATTCTCTGAGAAAAATTTGCAGCGACTCTAATAATTTCAAACATCGTTAATTAACCAAAAATAATCGTATAATTATACCAAAAATTTCGAGAATCGTTCCGAGATGCGGGAGAGATGCGACGAATTGTACTTTAATTTCGAAGTAATTTCCGAAGCAAATACGAGCGATGCTAAAAAGTTTTCACTAATAGTGAGCGCAGCTGTTGAGGCTCTTTTGCATATTTCGTTCAACCTAATTTACCGGTCTCTACGTGTCAGGGTTGTTATTCGTCGCGAGAGGCACGCAATAAAACGAGCGATTGTTCGAGATAACGAAAATCATCAGCGAAGCGAGAAACGACGAAATGGGAAACCATTCGCTTTTCAGCTTTCGAAAAGTAGTAAAACGGCGACTTCTTTCGTATCACTATTGACACAGTTCCGAAGAATCCGTAGAGTCACATTCACTTCAAAATAATGTCCACGAATTTCCAAATTCTCAAGATTTATGAGACTCCGAATTTTTCAACATTTCCAAGATCTTCAAAGAAGACCTTTGGATTAAGCTTTAGACTCCAACAATCTTAAATTTCCTTTTCTCTCGGCAATCTGCACGGATATATTCTCACGATGTCTCGCGATATCTAAGAGCGATCCTTTTGAGAAGATACGATGGGTGGCTTTGCAAAACGCTCGTCTTCCATGTTTCTTAGAGATGCGATCAGATGATCAATGGGATTAGGAGACAAATATTCCGGATGAACTTGAGCACGTAGCTCGACCGAGTTTCCGAGTTTGCGTTTAGACTGTAGGAGGCAACCTCTTTATAGTTTCGTGTTTCTTCGTGCGGAAAGCTGAGGGAGCTTACGCGCTTTAGTATGTCGTTGCTTATGCGGGATTATGCAGCTGCACGCACATATGATATATCACGTAGGCGACCGCAAATCGTGTTGCGCAATTAGACACAGGTGCACAAAACAGGCGAACTTTTACGATTCTTCTTTACGAAAAGAGAATTTATATTAAAAACATATATAATAGTAAGGATTTTTATTCCTCCCTAAAATTCTTTCACAAAAAAATTTATTGATGAGTTAAGAATTATCTTAGTTGATATAAAATTTAGAGTGGCTTTATTAAAAAATTATAATAAAAAATTTATTTCTTGAATTAATATGTTAAAAGAATTATAAAGTCTCTCCTCTTTGTTCATTTCCTATTTTTTTTTATTTCAAGTGTATACATATATATAATATGGCTTTGAAAAAGAAAAGGTCATCTTGTAGAAAATCTTTTCGTTTCTAAGGGGTATTAAAATAATAATTTATCTTTTGAATATTTAATAAAGTAAGATGGAAAACTTTCAAATTGCGAGATTAAAAATAATCCACTTGTTTAAGGCATATCGCGCATAGATATAATTGATCTGCCAAATAATTTTATTACTATATTAAAGAGCTATTAAGAACTTAACATTCTTTTTGTCCCGCATCATCCAATGAAAAGTTTCAACTCTCTGCCGCGACTAGATTAACGTCGACGTTAAAGTAATAAGAAAGTTTCTGCAACTTTGTAGATAACATCGATCGAAAGAATAATATAGCGGCGTTGAACCGCAATAATTTCAGCAAGCTCAATTTTCACTTCTATAAACACGAAAGTACTAAAGTATACATATTGCCGATTAGCATGCTTCTATTATCACGAATAAACATTTTCGTATATGTTTCGTACAAATTTAAAGCATGTACAATAAATAGTGATTTTATACCATAGAAATTTCTCAAACTTTTGGGAATATATGTATAACTTTTAATCAAAAATTGATTTAATACAAAAATAAAATAAGTTCACATATATGCTTTTACCTTTTTCTTGCATTTAAGTTTTTACAATTTTTGATCGATATGATTGCAAATAATCGATAAGATAAATATTTTACCGGGCACGTCTTGGGTAGTAATAGATGACGATTCGTCGCGGTGAAGGTGTCCAGACCGATTAGAAGACCATCGCCACGATCGATGTAGTCGGATGGCAAAATACCAATACCATTTGCCGCATCGTCCACTCTGTGTTTGCATTCTCGTCGAGCGCCCTTCGTCGCCATCCTGGAATTCAGACCATTGCGATGCGGAAGATGAGGTATGTTGGCTCACCACATTTTGGTTTATGGTGTGAAATGAGGTAACTTGGCCTTAAGTTAATTGTGCCATTATCAATATAGAAGCGTAAATTAATTCAGAATTCTCTAGGAAATAATTATAGGCACATTACAGAAGAATAATTATTTTTTATTAATAAATATTTCAGTGAAAAGAATGCAAAAAAATGATTGCATATATTTTAAAATATCGCAGGATAAAATATACCGTGTTCTCTCCTCCTCTCGCGTGTCGATTAAGTTATTTCAAAATGTATTAATGCAGGTCAGCAGAAGTTGGACTATTGTGGTCACTACTTACTTTAGGAGAGAAATTCTAATAGACATTGACCCAAATTCAAAAGTTTCGAGCTTACTACGGCTAGCGAATTTATATCGCCTACACAAGATGAGAGTAGCGTCCGTAATTGCTAACATTAATTCGATATAGGAATTTATTTGGACAAATGGAATGTGTTAATTTTTTAGATATATGGATATATATCTCTTCCCTTCACAGTTAGTTATCTCTAATTTTAAATTGTTGTATGTTATATATATTCTCTCTCTATCGGAGCTTGGATGACGTTTTAATGCCTTTTATTCTGATATTAATAAATATGCATCAATTTTCACATATTCAAATTTGCTTTATATCTAAAGTTAAATGATAAATGTTACGCTATAAAAAATAACTACATAAAATACACATATTTAAATTTTATAAAAAAATAAAAGATAAAGATAGCTGATTTGCAAGCTGTGAAAACATGTGTAAAGTTACGTGCAGGTGTAATATGCATATCAGTCGAAACTTCCGCAATTTTGTTCTATGCAAGAATTTCCGCCAACAGGTTCGGCTCTACTTTCTGATAAGTTAAGCAAATATATTCTTTTCTCTTGTGAAAAATTCTTTCAATCTATATTTCTGCAATAAATTATCTGTCTGTCAGAAAGTTATAAAGTTAGAAAATATATCAAATATTTCGTGAAAGCGATGCAAATTTTCAAATAGAATTTATAGCAAGGTGTAAAAGGTACGATAAGTTTATCTCACAGACAACAATCGAAATTTTATGAACTATCGATTTATGTTATCAGCGCATCTGATATTTGCATGACATTTTAATATTCTTTTTATAACGAAAATAATAAATATATATTAATCTATTCATGTTTAAATTGCACAAAATTCTATGTATTTTCTATATTTCGTAAAGTTGAATTAAGTAAATCATGCTCAAAATCCTAGTTAACCGCGAAATTTGTAATGTCCTTAATTCCTTGTAAACATGAGACTCGAGTTGATAAGCTCCGTATAAGCCACTGGTCCAGAAACGATAGTTCACTAAATCTTTCTAAGATCCACATGTGGACTAAAAATATTTCTAACAAAATATTGTCACAATTAGAATTTAATAATTAAGAATATATTTCTAAATAAAGAAAAACATGTGTTATTTAGTTTTGTAAAAAAGAATAAAAATATGAAAAGGTATATTTAAATAATTTTCTAATTAGATGACTTAAAAATGTGATTATCTGATTTTTGATGATGTTGCGTAATACTTTGAAGTCGTATTAAAAAGATAACTTTGTTATCCTATCTTATTGATTTTTTCTGACTTCTTACCTGTATCTCCATGTAATGAATGAGCCCACAATCACGATCAGAACAAACAGACTAGCTCCAATGACGCCTATCATGCAGGTTGGACCGCATGGCCCGCTAGACGCTATAAAAACGTAAAGGACAAAGATTAATAATGCTCAATGAAGTGAAAAAGCAGGCTCTTTCATATAAAATCACAAATAATAAAAGATTATTATTTCAAGCTTTTCCTCTAGTCATTAAAAATAGTTTGAAATGGACTTTAAATGTTTTAAACATAATTTAAACCTTTCAATTTCAATATCTACAATCACTACAAATAATTAACTGTGCATATGCTTATCACTGATTGCTCTTCTCTCTTATTATTATGATTCAATACTGCTTAAACACGCGACAAACCTTTACGCGCGCCCGACACGAGAATCTCGTCTTTCCGATCCCGTGATTTTCTGGGTCGTTCTTCCTTAGCACCGGGCACGTTATTTCCTTGTGGAAAAGCAGGTATATTGCAAGTGCATTTCAGGTTGTCGTCACAGGCACAAGTTCTTAAACCGTTCTTCATGCCACGGCCGCTCTGGTTTGCATCGCCAAAGTGAATGTCTTCTAAAAAACGCGAACACGATCACTCGCACAGATCGATCGAGTGCCTCTCGGAGGCAAACATAGTAATCCTTCTTCAATGATCCTTAAATCTCTTTCGATTAGACGCGACTGTGACGACGATAACGCGAAATCCCTTTAAATCGAAAGCTTTTGTCCTTAAATCTAAGGATCCAAACATGATTATATTGTTTAGGAGAATCTTCTCATATATATATTTCGAATTCTCTAATATACTATTTATTAGAAATATATATAGAAATATTTTAAAATTTATAAAATACAAATCTTTTTGTCTTTTAAAAGCATTTCAGTTATTGTTACGAATTTTTTACTATATTTTTTTTACGATACTAGCGCGATGTAACGTAACGGTGATATTGTGATGTTTTGACAGTCCCGGCTTTACTGCATTATGTGATCGACGAATTAACGCATATGTGACTCACCTTTGTCGACGCAGTCTTGCGGACATATATGCGGATGCATGTTCTCCAGCTCGTCACATTCGTTGTCCGGGCAGTACGTCAGGTCCGGCGAACAGGTGTGATAAGACTCCGACATTTGATAGATGTCATTGGTTCGATTGTTCTTATTGCCTCTCCAAACGCATTGCCCGACAAAACTGTCCTTGCTACGCACAAATTCATTAAAGTCTAATTATGATTGCGCGTGACGCCGGGTAATTTACGTAAAATTGTTTCCTCGAAAATGATTAGACGTAACTTTTACGGACCACTTTATATCGATGAGAAAATAATTGTCACAAATTTATGCACATTTTATCTTTTAATGTTATATTATACATTATTTTATTATTATAATTAAGCTTTAAACTTTTTCACTGACTACATTAAATTTCATTAAGGCATTATTAAAAAAGAGAAATATAAATGCTTGATTTATTAAAATTAATAAATGTATTTATTAAAAATAATACAAATAATAAAAAGAGAAAAGGGAAGAAATTAAATAAGTAATAAAAAAGTGCATCATAAAAATGACGATAAGAAATGTTTTATGAGTGTCTCTTAGATAAAGAAATTTCAATAATAAACGATGTCTGGAAATTGAAATATCAAATTACATTGGCATATTCAAGAAACGGAGAACGAGAACAGTAAAATGTGAACAGAAAATAATAACTATTTTTTTTATAACAACAGTAAAAGGAAAAAGAGGAAGGATAAAAAACGAACTGTCAATTACTGCCTTTTACTTTATCATATCAGAAAGCGATAGTTGTCGGAAAGAACAGCGAAAACGAGTCAAGTGAAATGAAAGAGAATCCATAAACTTGGACTAGCGTCCGAAATAGTCGTTACGATGAAATTGAGCCTCGTGGGGACGTGACGCTTTTCCGGAAAAGAGAACGAAAGTAATGACAGCCTCTCCCTTCAGCCCATTCTGGAAAATCACCGTTACTTTCAAGATCAATTTGCGCAAGCACAATGCTCCATATCAAAAAAGAGAGATTTCCTTTATATGGAAACGTTACTATCAACCACCATTCTTAATCTTAACTGATATACTTGAAAATTCATTAGTTCATAAATATATTTTTCACTTTTTCTTATATAAGACTTCCTTCACATTTTTCGGAAGAAAAAGGTTAGTGTAAAGACTTTCAGAAAATTCTTGATAAAAATGAAGTGGCATTCCACGCTATTTTCAGTGGCGTGATTATAAAGTAACATGCAACATTTGTTCGCTGGATAGAAAGCACTGCGAAATGCGTTTCTGTTGTTAAAATTTACTAGTAGTGGATTTATATCGCATGAAAATTAAATGGAATGCTTTCCTTGCGCAAAAGAAGAAAATATTTTGAAGAAAGATTCGGAAATATTATAATAATTTTTCGATGACGAAACAATTAAAAGTATGTAATTACAACTTTAAATTAAACTTTAAATATTATTGAGCTTACCAACTGTTGCTTCGTAATTATAATCGTAATTTAATTACTCTGAGACCGGATATTTTGATATTATTTTTTTAATAAACATTATATATATTTAATCAAAATAAATTTATTTTTTAAATAAAGTTTCTATTAAAAATCCTATCAAAGTTCTTACAAAAATTTAAGATAAAGCATTTTTACTTTTAGCATCTATTATTAACAAAGATTTATGCAGTTATATGTTTGAAAATTTTTGTGAACGAATAGTTAGACATACCTGAAGATCCCGCTGGCGAATCCGCAGGACTTTTCGCAATCTTCGCGCGATTTTGCAATCGCGCATGAATGCATTTCTTCCTGAACCAATTGTTTGCACGTGTTAATCTTTGAAGACGACACGTTGACCAGATTCACTCGTAAAATCCTGGACATGTTGCCATTCTCTCCGATCCATTTTAATTTCAGCCTGGTAAACAATCCAATATCGCATCATAATCGCGTAACAAGAAAAGTTGCCCTGGACGAGTCAACTGTGGGTTAGATTATCCATTGAAAATAGCATCAACTTAATTAAAATAGAGATTTTCTCATATCAATAATTAATCTTTCACGCTTATTTCAGTTTCGCAATTTTGTTCGTAAAATCGTAAAAGTTTTGAAAATAAACACTTATTAAAATTTAAATTCACTATATAAATCGTACAGTATCTAAATTTTAACGACTTTATTTTAGTAAAATATTTAAAATATACATAAGCATATGTATATATAATTCAGACCTTCTAAATGCTCTCTATAAATATAATACGAGCAGTGCCGTAAGTAGCCTTTATTATTTATAAATTTCATAGAGTGAAAACCGAACAATCTCATTCCAAAAGAATGGAATTTTACTTCAAAAGAGTGAGATTCAGTTTTCACTCCAAAAAATTTAGAGAATTGCGTCCGGTGCGAGCTCAACATTTTGCGTCCCCTCCCCCCAAATATTTATAATAAAAAATTGCATTAAGAACGTTTATTTGTTGCAAATAAATATACTCTTATTTATTTTTTTATATGTATATATATTTTTTTAGTTTTTTAAATTATTTTATTTTTATTATATGTATACATATATGTCATATTTATCATTCTTAACATATTCATTATATATTTATTATATTTATAAATTAAAAAATACCAAAACCATAACTTAAATAATTTTTTAAAAATATAAACGTTTTAGCACATGCACATAAATAATCGATATTCATAACTTAAACTAAAAGATCCTTAACTGTAAATAAAGATTCTTTAGTACAAAACGAACAATAAAACATTAAGAAGGGAACATAAAAAAGAAACAATAAGCATTACAAAATATCAATTATATTATAAGATAATTTTGCGAGTCTATGCACTGAAACTATAGATGCTGTTTGTGCTACGTTTGTCTACGTACGCGCTCTCAAGAAAACAGTTATAAAATGAGATACAGATATATATATATATATATATATATATATTTGTTATTTTATTCTCTTAGATATAACTCTTTACCCATGTTCCTCGTTCATGAATTTAAACTCTATAAATGGCGCGCAGGAAAACGATTCCATACGCTGTCACGGTGAACATTTGGGCTTGAATATATTTTTTTATCAAACTTTTTAAAAAATTTATCGTATCTTTTTTGTTAATGTAAATTTATCTTGACGGCACCGCCCTAGTTATGGTACTATGAATACGAGTATTCATGTATGTTGTACTGAAGGAAATCGTTCGGGCTATATTTATGCTCGATATTTAAATATGTAATATATTTTTGAATATTTAATATATATCGAACTAGGTCTTGAAATATCTGATTTTGCTTTTTTAAGGTACATTCAAGTGCATAATTATCATTTTATAATTTTTTTACATAAAATTGATACAAGATATTTTATCTATGGTTTGAATCTTGCATCAGGGCATATCCCGGGAAATATCTGAACGTAATAGCGCCTCGCTGTTTCTCATACAGGAATTATCGGAAATGCTTCGCTCTCGCATGACATTGAGCTATTTAGAACAGATATATGTATAGTAGACGGATGAACTTACTGAACGCTGTTGGGCTCGGATCGCAGCTTAGTTTCGTTGGACACGTAAACGATACCCTCCTGTGGGGTGACGTTGAATGCGTCGGAACCCTGTAGGTTGAAAGTTATCGAGGGATGGGGTTTTGCCGTGGGTTTCGCCACGCGCATGTATCTGGACGAAATCCGGGCTATTTTCACATTCGAGGGATACGAGACTGATTCTCGTTTTGCGATGGATGATGGTGTCGCGATAGTCGAAGCTCGGTGTACCGGACCCGTGAAAGTTAAATTAATGTTCACCTAAGGAGAAAAAAATGCGAATTATATAACCAATCTCTTCTGCTCACAAATTTATTTTAAGTGATATTTTAAGTAAAGGAAAAATAATATATTTACTACTACTTTATTTTTATTTATATATGTGTATATAATTATTTTCCTTTTATTAATTCTTATATCTTTTTATTAAACTGATTTCATGTATAATTTTATATTTTAAAGGAATTCTTACAACGCTGTTATTACATTCTGATTAAGTCGTCATTCTTTATAATATCGTAAAATATAATTATTTTTAAATATCGTTAAAAGAATTTTTTATCATTCTTAAAGGAGTGGTAGATTGTCACGTGAGAAGAAACTTAGAAGATTTGCTAAGACTAGGAAGGCTCTCAAACAATATTTTATCACGGAAAATCGATATTAAAGACCGCGACCGCTGCAGATGCAATTGCCACGTGACGGTTTTTATTAGAATTTATCGTTCGTTCTTCGTGCACTCATGGAACGCCTATAGCGGGAAAAGGCACTTAAACTAATCTTTTCTTAAACGCGCGCGTAGGAACTGCGAATAAATCCATCGTTTAACTTTGTTATTTTGTTGTGTGCAACTCTTTTCTTGTAGAATATATTTGTAATATTAAATTATTTGGAAATTAATTTCGAAAACAAATATATCTATACGTTTCGCACAATTAAAGCAAGATATGACGGACATAATTCAAGTTCATAGAATATTCAATAGATCTCAACATGACCTTAAAGGAGGCAATAAGATCAAGAGGTGAACAAGATCATGGTTAAAGATCATCATTTAACTGTAAGAGAATATCGCGTTTCGCGAGGAAAGACAAGATGAGGATCATCGTATATCTAAGATATCGCGACCTGATTTACAGGACATACATAAATCAGAAGCAGGTTGCCCGGCTAGTTGGAAATATCGATGTCAAGATTTATTTTCTCATGTGGTTTCAATTTAAACACCTAGTCGTATGTTACGCGGATGATGTAGGGTATCCATTAAAGGTGCACGACATGCGCGGCTCGAATTAGAATGAATTGCACCCGATTATTATCCGCGTGTTCGCGGATTACGCTCTACAATCATTATCCTCTTTCCGATTAAATATTCAGGATGATGTACGCAATGAAACCGCTATGCGCAAAACTTGCGGCATTTAATATCGTCAAACAGTATATAATAACACGCTAAATAGTAATAACACGTTTACAGAGTGTTTGGTAATTTCAAATTAAATAGAAAAGATTTCCTACCAATAAATGTATTGATTTATTTTAACGAAAATTAAATGCGATTCTTCAATATTTGAATACGTTAAATATTTCTATGGCAAATGATTGCAATCAAAGTTTACTTTTCGCATAAATTTGAAGAATAGAATTGTATTTTATAAGCACGCCAAATAAAATGAAAGAAGAATGTGTAACACTTTCTTTGTAATTGAATAATCTTGCCATTAAATTATTGGAGAAAAAAATAATTTTTGACATATATTTTGTGATTTCAAACTTCACTAAAGATATATAAAAAGCTTTTTTCGTTTGAAAGAAAATATATGTAATCATATCTTGTATAAATATTATCTATAAATTTTACTGTGATACACATTTCTATCACGTAGCCAATGAACAAAGTATTTGGAAATGATATTCTGCAATTTTAATGCGAAACAATACGTTTATTCATGCATATTATAACATGTTTTGTAGTTTGCAATTTTCGTTCCTCTCATCATTCATCGAGCGATTCAATCAAATTAGTTCGCGTGAACGAATGACCGATTGTTTTTTCGAGAGACAATATCCGGTATCCGGAATAATATATCTGATCTTCTTTCCGGAGAAGAATCGTTGTTTCGATAGTTAGGAAAAACATTTGAAAGTTGCGTTTTAATGACGATTACATTATTCGAAACAAAGCTCGATAATAAGTGACTTCACCCACGCGCCACTCTCAGATGGTGCTATTTAATCTACGATTAACCGCCTCCACGAAATCAATGCCGCGCCCAAGGAACCTCTAACAAGGCGAGATTTCACCTAATTGTTTAATGACCTCCGATTATACCGCGAAGCGCGCAGGGATTACGGATGCATGGCACACGACTAATGACGACTAATGAGTCGCTTATCTTTTGACTTCCTCGATACAAGTCTAGGTCGATTTCGTTTCGTGCGAATGGAAGATGAGCCGAACGTAAATGGGAGGAAATTTGAAGTTAAGAGACCGCTTACATTAGCGAAATATTGTAATAGTACTTTGAGAGTGCTCTCTATTTAATTAATAAGAAGTGAGGTACTTTCGATAATCATTTTTAACAAGAGAAGAATAAATTGTTTAAATCTGTCACTGGCTAAATTTTACCTTGCAATAATAATTAATCTAATAATCGTGGTTGTTAAAAATACTTATATTTCTTGGGTATGAGAATAAAAATAATTGTTCATAGGGGTGAAAGCTTCTCAGAGAAATGAAGCCCTGTAGTAATTTAACTGGTGTCTTTTTGTATATTTGGCCAAGGACTCTTCGCGAGTTATGGGATCAGCATGGCGCACTTTTGCCCCGAGTTTTACTCGCGCAGTTCGTAAATGACATACGGCGGTGAGATATCGGCGGACTCTGCCGATATTATGAGATTTATCGCGACCGGGGTGAACTTTTTTAATCGGACAACAGATTTCCAGCGCAGCATACAGCCCGTATTGTGTTTGTTCATTTCAATGAATCACTAGTGTATTACGAAGAGTACTGATTTGATTTTTCTCTGATGTCAATTTTTAACAAATCATAATATTTTATCAAACAATAAATATTTGATTTTCCTAAAATATTAGGATTAATTTGACTTATTGTCACTTATTAATAAAAATCCAATTTCCTAATCTTTAAATTAATTTAGCACAAAGGAGCGAAGCAAATGGTCAATCCAAAATGTTCGCGATTAAAAAATTGTAAGTAGAGGTATTTAAAACTCTTTGATGTTTAAAGTGGAAAGGGAAATTGCCAGTGCTCTACTGTGCCATTTTACCCAGAATCGGCACTTAACTTGACTTAAGACACTTGGCCACTGTCCTTTGACACTTTTGCAAATGGAGCGAATGTCTCAAGCAGTTTGCCAACGAGTGTCGGCGACGTAGAATCAATACTGACTCACCGAATTTGTCCCGTGTCCTTTGAGAAGAGATTCGTCCGTAACTTGAAGAACTACGTGATACGGCGACTCCGGTAGCAGTGTCTTTTTGGAGTAGATTTCTAAAAAAGGTGTGATAAATTTTTATAAGTGCGAAAGATATATACGCGTTAACATCCATAAGAAATGAATTAAAGTGCGAAATGGAGACAACGTCGAATGAATATTTGATACTCACTAGGAAAAATGGCGGTATAGGGCACCTTATTCGGGTGTCTATGATGTTCGATTGGTAAAGACTCGTAAGTGACGTTCAACGCTTGGGAAGTATCGCCAATTAGGCGAACGCTGTACTTATTAGTAGTCACCGCATCCGCGTCGCTAAAGATCATGTGGTTATCGTCTATCAATTTGTAGCCCTGAAAAATAATTATTCCTCGTTAAAACGATATTTATTATAATTGATATCTTTATATATATTTTTAATGTCTACCTTATTATTTTCTTATTATTAGCTTTACCGTCTTAGTGATTTTCTTTTTTTATAGGTTTTTAAAATTCTTATTTATTTTCTCGCTATTATCTCAGAAAAACGTACGACTTTAGTTTTATTATATTTTTACAGATTTAAAATTTCGCAAAAAGATACGTGAAAAAATCTTTTAACGTAATTACTTTTTACAATTTTTTTACAACGCCAGACGCTTTCAGTAAGTTTTAAGTATTTTCACTGCACTTAGTGAAACAATGCAGGATTTCGATTAACCGATCGAACTTCGTCCATTAAAGTGTCCAATTACGTTTGAAACTCCTCAGGTGTTTCGGCATCCAGACCTAACAACCATTTCTTCATAGAAACGAGGAAATGAACGAAAAGTAACAGCTGCAAGAGGGTAAAAAGGAGATGTTTGGTAAAGAACTAAAAAAAGCGAGAAAAGGGAAAGACAATTTGACGAGCATTGAAGAATAGGACACCCCGGGGGTTTAATCAAGATCAGTCCCAGAGGCTGTTTCTCCCTCGTATATCTCATCATCCTCGCATGTCTTTTGTGGCATCCATTGCACTTGGCGTTTCCTTTTTATTATGCGCGTCACTCGCAAAGCAACGCGGTAATTACGCGAACAATGAGAGCTTGATTAAGTCTCGTTTCCGACGCGGCGACATTGCAGTTAAAAAATGAGATTCATTCATAGCAAACACTGAAATTCGCCAAACATAATACCACAAAACGTTGGATATGTTATGCAAAAAAATAAGAACATTTGGAATTATCTGCGCGAAATGTTGAGATACAATAATATGACAACCTTTGTTTTTATATTAATAATTAAACAAGAGGAAATATTTTTTTGAATCAAGATTTTTTTTATTTAAAGATTTTTTGCTGATATTTTTTTGTTTATAATATTTTAATAAAAGATTTCAAAATATAGAGAGAATATCTTTTTTGATTTCTTAATCGTTGTTTATTTTTTTATAAAAATTATTCAAAGTTTAATTTAATCACAATATTTTTCAGAAAAAATGAAATAAATATTAACGGAATCCACGCATTTTAAAACTAAAATCAACCGGATAGGATATAGAGAAATAGTGTCCTTATGCTTGGTAACGATAAATCTGCAAGTTCTTTAGTATCAGGAAGTTACTCGAAATTGTTATAGCGAACATTCATTTAAACACCGTCGATCTTGCTCTTTGATACTGCAAACTTACCTCGGTAAAGTCCGGAAGCGTTATAGAGATGGAAGTGTTGCCTTGCACTGTGGGAGGATTGTCATCTTGATCCAGGATATCGATAGTAAGAATATCCGACTGCACATGCTGCGTCCCAGTCTTTTCCTCCCAAACGACACATTTCACCTCGATCTGAACACGAGGTCCGGGTCCTGGAGAACTGATAGTATCTCGGTCCAACGACGCGTTCGCAAATAACTTACCGTTATCTATGTGAAAATAATCGGTTCCTAAAAAATAAAAACAAATTTTATTTCATTATTTCTGTGGCATGCTTTCAGGTCAACATTAAATGTCATTAAAGCAGTTACATTCTTCATAAAAATAGATTATAATAGCTGGATGTATACAATTCACATAATGTTACTCATTAGCATAAATTTACATAATCGAAGTAATTCCGGGAAAGAGAGAGAACAAAAGAGCAACATTTATCAGATTATTAGATTTATCAAATATGTATAATGGAAAATAATGTCATAGTACAATAACGCTTTCATAACATACAACTTTCATGTACATATAATTAAAATTATGTGTCTCATAATATATGTTAAAAAATTATATATTAAAAAAGATGATTTTTATAATATAAATATTATCTAGATATTAATTAATATTATTAATGTTATACAATAGTAATGCAAACACACAAATAACGACATGTAATGTATGATCTTGTTGTTAATAAAAAGTTAGTTATATAATGATTATAAAGGCAATATAATGTAAGCTATTATGTTTGCTTTTATATAGAAATTTTGTAGTAATATTTCTCTCTTTCTTTCTCTCTTTTTCTGCTAGATTAAATTTTTTTTGCGAAAACGCCACATTTGAAATATGGCGCTTGCTACATTTTTCGGCAGCTTCTATTGTATTCAACAGCGGAAAATAAAATTTAAACCATCACTGAAGAGATTTGGGTCTTTGATGTATGACTCGTCGCACACAAAGAGGATTGCAAGTTCGCGTTGCTACATATTACATCACTGACGGTAACGACGTCTTCAGCGAATTTTAATGACAACAGTTTGTGCCGCTCTAATGGCAGCTTTAACCACACCCGGCAGGATTTATTCATTTTTTATATAAACGTATTATCTTCGGATGATTCCAATCAATCACCGTTTCGTTGTTTTTTCGGCTCTGTCAGTGAAAAATGCTCGATCCTTGACGAAGGATTTATCTCTTGCAAATAGGAACTCGATTCGACGTATGTCACTAAAGGGACGATTCATCAAGACCATTTCAACTAACAAAAAATGAAGATCTTAAGCACGAGAAAAATAAACCTCAGTTCTTCGCAAATCGATTTTACATCACCACGCTAGACACACTTTGGAAATTTGTTTAGAATTTATAGATAAATCGGTTGATAGCAAATAAATGAACTGCGTGGCTTAAAAAGGATTGAGCTGTCACGGGAGATACTTGCCATTTGACAATTCATATCTGCTGACGTTGAATTCGGGACACATATAGCTGTAAGCCTCCGGGCCGAACGTGCCAATCATTGTAATTGGTTGATTCTCATAAATCTTGTAGTTTGATGTGTTCCAGAAGCACATGTCCTGTAACACTCGAAACTATGTGGATCGACGCGCTTCGATGAAATATACTTCGACGCGTTAACCCATCGATGAAAAATTATTTTAATGTTTTACGTAATATAATTAAATCGAATAAATTGAGCAAATTTCGACGACTATTTATAACGTTTTTATATTCACGGATTATCGCGAAATATATTATTATGCAATGTTATCATTATGTATAGATCGGCTTTAATTACTTATGCGCCTGATATGAATTTTAAATAATTGCGACGGTTAAATGGATGAGTTAAATGGATCGTACTCGTGAAAATATTCCGAAAAAATAAAATAAAATAACTTATTGCGATAATTTACCTGTAAGTAGTGCATACAATTGATATTTTCTCCCATTACTGGAACTGGCTTTACTTTCATCTCGAGGTACGCTTTGCTGGAACCTCTTTCGCTCGCTTCGACGATGATAGTACTCTCTTTTAATTAAAAAGACACTATTTTAAGTAAGTTCATATATATATATATATATATATATATTTTGCGATATCACATTTTAATAAAATTTTCTTGAGATGCACCTACCATCTTGCGGAAGATTCCGCAACACGATCTCGCTTGTATTTTTCTTATAGGCAAACTTCTCTTGCAACCTATTGATGATTCGATACTCGACATCTTGCGGTACAGTAGAATCGTCCCGAAGGGTCCTAAGGTCAATTAATTTGACCTCCGGTAAAATCCTCGTGCCATGTCGAGTTAAATACGGAAATCTTAGAGTGAGATTCGATTGCGGGTAATAGAGTCCTGAAATACAAAGAGAAAAATACATTTGTCAGTTTCTCTTACCGCTGGTCTCTTCTTCTGCAATTTTTCCGAACAGGATTTTCGGATTGCGCCTTAGGCTGACAATCGGATATCGTTTCCCGAGAGTTGTCGCGCTCAAGAACAATGGTTCTACGTTCATAAATCCTCCTCGAAACGAACTCAATGGCTCGCCGGAAACGTAGGAGGGTTCGGCCGAATTTCGGGAAATTGCAAGTGATAGTAATGGCACGTATATATATATAGCGATGCAATAACTCTAGTTTCACCGATTTTGCTAACGATTTTGCGAGCATGTGTCGTGGTTTCTTGGTATTTGTAGAGGAATGTCACGTACAACTCGCAGCTGTTTTCCGTCGTTACCGGGTTAAAAGTTAACAGGTGTAGAGCAGAAACATCATGACAGCGGAACAGTGAAAACATTAAAAATGATGACATTTATTAAAGTATTAATTAATACACAATTATTGGTTTTATTAAATATTTTTTCCAACTTTGAAAACGACGTCTGCAATATGCATTTTCTTTGTCACAGAAGGAATAGTGTTATAAAATATTGCACGGAAAAGATATGTTCTTTTTACAAATAACTTCATTATAATATTATTTGCATTATGAATTTCTTGCGTGCCCGGCCAAGTTCGGTTGATGTTGCATGAAGTGTAAAAAGCATGAAAATAAAATCCGTGGCCAAATGGAAATTCAATTGTGCTGCGAAACCTTGCTTAATGTTTAAATAAACGAAAGCCATTCTCTTTCTCTCTCTCTCTCTCTCAGAATCTGATTCTAATTTTGTCGTTTTGTGTGCAGGGATATAAATTGTATCGCGCAGAAAAGTCTATCTTCTTGATGCATATTTCACGACTGCATGAAAAATTGCATTTTTGCCGAAACGCGAATATTCAAACAACAGTTTTTCACACATTTCCCCCACCATTCTTCTTTTCTCAACTGAAATATTACGAAACCAATTTCTCGGAAGAAGCAAATGCGATATCGCATATCTTCGTTCATTCGTGATGCCGCAAGGATTCTTTCTGCAAGCTTTCTCGGGATAAGGACTCCAGTATGCGCATGCAAGTACTGCGTTTTCGAAAGGCTGGAGCGTGTTCAGCCGCAAAAATGTGCTTCGTTGAATAAAATATATCGAGACGATCTAAAGGCCGTCTGGCGCGAGGCATACGAGCATATACGTCGAAGCCGATCGTCTGACGGCTTCCACGTTTCAACTTATTTCGAATGCGCTCTTGAGATCGCCACGTCCGACGAATAAATTATGTCACGGGACTTTTCCTCTCGTGCTCTTTCTGTCACGCGTTATAAATTATATAGAATGATAAGAGTCGCGAGACAAGAAACATTCTTTTTACGTGCAATTTCAGAGATACAGAAAAATATAACAATATGAATGGAAGCCATTTGTTTCGAAACAGCGATCCGCAAGTTTAAAATCTTAAAGCGTATCAATTTTCAAGTAATATGGATGTAAAAAAATTCATGTAGCTCATGACAAATTAAAACTGTTCAAAGTTATCTATAGAATGGATAGAAGAGAATATAAAAGAAATATCAAAATATATATTTTTATTTTTTATAAAATTCAAAATGTTTAACTATATTATACAAAAGATATTGAAACAGATTAATAATTTTAAAACGACGGACATAATCGTTGTAATAAAAAATAGTATTTGATCAATGGTGTTTACACGAGAAACTACAAGAATTGTTCTGATTGTGGTTTCTTATGGTTGAACAATCTCCTTCTCATTCAATGAACGTTTCCAATTTCGAGTGTAACAGACATTCGTCGATAGTCCAAATATTCGATAGAGTTTATATCGATTTGATCGGGTTAAGAACGGTCTGAGATATTCTGTCATCCCTACGGAATAATTATATTACTCTCCTAAGTGCAACTATCGGAGGAAACTTAAGGGATTTGAGAAATAAGATCGCCTTTACATTTTTTACAGCGACTTTGTATTAACAAAATTCTATAAAATAGGATAAGAATATAAAAATGAATAAAATATTTTGCAAAATATCATTTTTATTTGATATTCCGATTTGAAATCTTTTGCAAAAGTTTTATCATTAATTTCAATGAATTTATTAAATGTATATATACATTTAAATTTTCTTTTTAATACATGTAAATGTGTTATTTTATATTACATAATTATCTATGATCATATAAATCTACCTTTAAAACATTATATTAAAAAATTAAAAATTAGGATTTTGTTCAATAAGCTCTTAAATTCTATCATATTTTTAGTCACATTTCTTGGTATAATTTTGAACATTCGTTTTTTCCATAAATAGAGGTTAATTAAAGAATTACTGAAAGAACTGTCGCGCAATCCGAAGCTAAGTCGTGGGTTTTAAATTTCAGCTTAATTCCCGCAAAGTGCTCGCCGTGGGGTCACGTTTAAATGCTAAGATACCGATCGGATTATTCGATGGAAGACGGCATTTAATTTCGATATGTACGAAGAGATTCAACGTTGAGAAAGGGAGGGTGTTATCGCGAGGTTTTCTCTCCCGGAACCTTCGCGTGCGGCCAACGTCGTCGGTGGAGAAACAAACCTCCCGCTTGGTGTCAAGGTGAGCGTGCAATCAATATATGCCGAGCGGCTGTTAATTTTAATCCGCAGATCGCGTGTACGGTCTGATACAGACGAAACGATTACGAGCACTTTTACAATCCACCCTTCCACCCACGCAAGTTCCTTGACATATACTGCCTTCGAAAAGTGTCTCTTCGATGCATACCGACAATGCACTAGAACGGTAGCTTCAGTTTAATACTGATCCATTGACATTTTGAGGAAGAGTTTTTTGCAATTAGAAGGTTGAGATAATCAATAACTTTCAAGCCAGAATTCATTAAAAATAAATAGTCTCGTAAAGCAAGCTATACTGCGAAGTAATATAAAATATCTAGATCTTATATTACTTTAAAATTCATACGGATATTATTTAAAATTTTAGATTATTTTAAATTATATACTCAATTTTTTATCTTTAAATTTTTTTAGTAATATAATATTCTTTAAAATGTATATTGAAATTTATATTAAAATTTTTTTAATATATATTTATAAATTGTAAATTATAATATATATTATAAATTTATATTAAAATGTATATTAAAATTTCTTAAAGTTTTTAGACACATTTTTATTTTCAAAATATTTAATATCATATTTAATGTAATATTAAATGTCAAAGCAAAAAAATAATGGCCACGTTCAAAAAGCACTTCTTTTTAAAGAAGCAATAGTTGATTTCTTTACACGTGCTCGTGTTTAATGTGTCTATTCAAATGTAAATTTGACGTATAAGCAACGCGTTTAGGTCACCATAAATCGAAGGTTCAGGGAGGGGATCTAATTCATATTGAATATGAATGAACAAATGTTCTATATTCTCATGTAGAACATTTCTCTCGTTACACTTTTTCGAGCTATTCTTTTTTTAAGATACAGATAAATATTTTATGAAACCAATAATGAGAAGAAACTCTATGTAATTTTATACATGTGTGAATGTATTATTAATATCTAACTGAATCTTCGATCTCACTAAGATAAATATTAAATATATATTTCCTGCATGTATCTGTCACAATCAGTAAAATCATCATAAATTTCGAAAAAAATAAAATAAGATAATGTAAAAGAATAACAAAATTCCAGAATCCTTAAAAAATAAAATACTGTAAATGAAAGTTCTTCAAGTTTTAATTTCAAGATGTTCGTGCATCATGGATATTGAATTGCAGTATTTTATTGCCCGATAAATCTCACTGCATCGCGAAACAACTTCTAACATCGCACATACATTTAGATACATCCAGTGCAGGTATGGTATCCGAGGTGAGATCGAGGTGATTATCGCGGAGAGGTCAACCCTCCGTTTTGCATATTCAGGAATAGATAACGCCGCCAAGGCAGATACGTCTCACAGACGCTAGACGTCTTCTTCCTTTTGTGTCTCTTCGTATAATTATATTCATGATACCGAATGTCAGGCCGCTTCATTGGAAATGGGCCATATATTATATGTGTATTCGAGGATACTTACATCATAATAAAATAATAATAATTTTTTATTCAATCAAATTAATATTGCTCTGTGTAGAAATATATAAGTTGATAAAATAAGATATAATAAAATACACATAAGTTGTATAAAATATCACAATAAAAAGACAATTTTTCATTTCATGAAAATAAAAGAGATTTATTATATTGATAATATCGATTTTGCTTGACATTTTACAAGCCCGTTAAAAATGCAGGTCTTGTATATACGTACAAGTTTGAGTAAAGCGGTTCCTACCGAGAATACGGTTGAAATTCCGTGTAAGGTCATTTACGCGATGGATGGATTCGATTTGTGCTTATGCGAGTCGTAAATCAACTGATCTTGAGAAATCAGTTGTACGAAATAAGCTTTCTTGATGAATGGTTATTAATAACTAGATGTTATCGCACGTATAAGTATAATGTCGTGCGGTACATCGCATTTAACCTTAATCGCTCTGGCCATTTCGTGACAGGTTTCTTCTATAATTGTGGAACAGAATTTAATGAACTTTGGATACTACATTTCTCCCTGTCCAATCGATCGATTTAACACATTCTGATAATATTGGGCGAGCTAAGAGCGATAATTTGCATTTCAATGCGGTTGTTCAAATCTATTCAGGATATTGCTCGAAAAGGGGACTTTATTACAAATATTATTTTATTTTCAAGTTCTACGATAAATATTATAGCATTGTATAATTACAATTTCTTTTCAAATTTTATCAATTTTTCTGTCATGCTTTCTATTTTTTCCAGTTAATTTGATGTAACGACAATTTCATCTAAGTATTATTACTTGCTTGCAATATTCAGGAATGTTTAAATTTAGTCAGAACAAATTTAATGGCCCCGCGCTTTTTAGGTAAAGCGAATATACATAGT